AGTGCAGGGCTCAAGGGTAGAGGAAATAAAGCCTCAAACCTCTGATTGAAAACACCTGTGGGGGTTGAGGTGGCAGGACAAACTCCCAGCCTCACAGGAAAGTTTGTTAGAGTGATCTACAGGATCCTAGAATGTACACAAGCCTACCCACCCAGGAATCAGCACCAGAAGGGCCCAATTTGACTGAGGGTAGTGGGGGAAGTGACTGAAAGCTGGCAGGGAGCTGAGCAAGTGCCATCATTCCCTCTCAGACCCCTCCCCCACACACTGTCACAACGCAGTGATGTGGGTTGCTCACCCTGGTGAACAGAAAAAATACAACTAAGTGATGAAGAGATAGCCAACCTATCAGATGCACAGTTTAGAACACTGGTAATCAGGATACTCACAAAAATGGTTGAATATAGTCGCAAATTAGATGAAAAAATGAAGGCTATGCTAAGCAAAATAAAGGAAAGTGTAGAGGGAATCAACAGTAATGGGAAGGAAACTGGGACTCAAATAAATGATGTGGACCAAAAGGAGGAAAGAAACATTCAACCAGAACAGAATGAAGAAACAAGAATTCAAAAAATGAGGAGAGGTATAGAAACCTCCAGGACAACTTTAAACATTTCAACATCTGAATCCAAGGAGTGCCAGAAGGAGAAGAGGAAGACCAAAAAATTGAAAACTTATTTGAACAAATAATGAAGGAGAACTTCCCCAATCTGGCAAAGGAAATTGACTTCCAGGAAGTCCAGGAAGCTCAGAGAGTCTCAAAGAAGTTGGACCCAAGGAGGAATACACTAAGGCACATCATAATTACATTACCCAAGATTAAAGATAAGGAGAAACTCTTAAAAGGAGCAAGAGATAAGGAGACAGTTTAATGGACAGTTACCTACAAAGGAGTGCCCACAAGACTGTCAGCTGAATTCTCAAAAGAAACCTTGCTGGCGAGAAGGGGCTGGAAAGAAGTATTCGAAGTCATGAATAGCAAGGACCTACATCCAAGATTGCTCTATCCAGCAAAGCAGTCATTTAGTTGGAAGGGAAAATAAAGTGCTTCCCAGATAAGGTCAAGTTCAAGAAGTTCATCATCACCCAGCCCTTATTACATGAAATGTTAAAGGACTTTATCTAAGATAAAGAAGATAAAAAATATGAACAGTAAAATGACAACAAACTCACAGTTATTAACAACCAAAGCTAAAACAAAAATGAAAACAAACTAAGCAAACAACTAGAACAGGAACAGATCACAGAAATGGAGATGACATGGAGGGTTATCAGTGGGGCAGTGGGTGCGGAGAAGGGGGAAAAGGAACAGAGAATAAGTAGCATAAATGGTAGGAAGAAGATAGACAGGGGGAGGTTAAGAATAGTATAGGAAATGTAGAAGCCAAAGAACATGTATATGATCCATGGACATGAACTTAAAGGAGTGGAATGCAGGTGGGAATGGGTGTGCAGGGCAGAGTGGAATAAAGGGGGAAATGGGACAACTGCAATAGCATAATCAATATATACATATATATTATATGTATAAACACAACTTTTCATATATATATGAAAGCCAGTCTTATACAAATATGTAATTGGATAAGAGAAGATTATTTTAATAAAGCCTTTTCATAAAATTAGGAGTATTCTTTGATAATACCCTAACTCCATAAGTGGTAATTTTTTTAAAGGTTGGGTGACATGTGGAATCTGAAACCATAACAATGAACTTCTCCTACTCTGTACACTAATAAGCTATAAGCTTAGGAAGGTGAGAAACAGCCCCAACCAGCTCAGTCAGGATCATGAGTAGACATATTTATGCCTTATTTTCTTCAACAGTAGTCTTTCAAGCCTTAGACAAAGAAGAGACCAGTGATTATTTCCTCTCCATAGAGAGAGTGGAGCAAATGTCTCTAAAGTTGCTGAGAGCTCTGGAATTAAATAAACATAAGTCAGTGACCCTAAAGTTAAGTATGCTATTTTGCCCTTGAATAAATTGATATAAATAAGTATATGGATATGGTAGATGCTTCACTAACTTTATTTCTATGACCACTCTGTTTGAAGGAACTTTTTATATATTTACTCAGAAGAATTTAATATATATTCTGTTTTCAAAAAATGAAGGGAAAAAAAAAACCACTTCTCTCTAGCCACTGAGATCACAAAGCCTTATTTATTTGTGAGCTATGAAACTGCATGCTTCATCTTTTTATACTAAGCACTAACATGAATAAGAAATACATTTTTGCAACATTTGCTTTTTTCATCTCTTTTATTAATATGCTTTAATAGTGCTTCTAATTGCTTTGCTAAGGAGTGAGATCATTTTGTTTCTACTTAAAGATATGCAAGAGTCTTGTCTACATGTAAACTTTCAACCAATTAACTTGCATTGTATGTCCATGAAAGTCATTTTTAATGGTACACATTGACTTAATACAGCTTGTTTTCTTGAGGGTGGAGAGGGAATATTTGTATGTCTCAATATAATTCTATTGAGAGAAATATCTTATAAATAAATCTATTCCTTATGACTCTTTTGTTTAAAATAACAAGTTAAACTCTTTTACAAGAAGTAGAATAGTCATCATGATTTCTCGGAATATAGTTGGTTTTCCTTTTAGACCACTAAGAGATCCACCCAAAATAATTTGTTCAGATGCTCCTTTCCGATATGTGTAAGGGTAAGGGACAGGTAGAATAGAGATACAGAAATTTCACACACACAAAAAATAAACCTAAATTACTAGTTCTTCTTCTTGTTTCTTTCTTAAACCAGTACCATGAGCATCAGCACCAGAGATAAATCTGTTTGAGTTCTTTATCAATATGATACATTTTGTGGTGGTGATATCAGTTTGTTGCTCACGCAATACCCAAATTTTATATAGTGTTTTTTAAAAACTCAGCTCCCAGTACCAAAAACTAATGTTGAAATGTCACTACCTTATCAAAAGTCAATTGCATCAACATTAGCAGCTATTGTAGAAATAATCTAATGAGGAGACAGAGAGAAGAGGAAGGAAGGAAGGAAGGAAGGAAGGAAGGAAGGAAGGAAGGAAGGAAGGGAGGAAGGAAGGAAGGAAGGAAAGGAAGGAAGGGATGGAGGAAGGGAGGGAGAAAGAAAGAAGGAAAAGGAAATATGGGAACAGAAGCATTCCAGGTGTTTTTGCTTTAAAACTTTATTATAGATTTTAGGAAATTGGACCCTCTTACATTTGAGCTCAAGTGTTTAAATAGAAAACAAAACTTCATGGGTATTCAAGAAAATATGAACACTGGTCTCAGGTGTTTCCTGACATCAAATATGTGGTGCCTTTTTCAACACTGATTATCCAGCTCTGATTCTCTGACACCAACTGTGTGTCTTATGATTCAGTCCTGTTGTGACACTAACTACTCAGAGTTGGCATCAGACTCCACAGGTTTAAAGACTCAGCCTCTCGAGACTGCCCTCCTTTCAGACATGAGTCACAGGTCCTGTGTCCCGTGGTTACCACCTGCACTTCTGACCTAACTATAAATTTGAGGGTACTCATAGCCAGCACTCCTAACCCAACTGAAGTTTGATAATTTGCTAGAACTACTCAGAAAACTCAAGAAAAGGCCATACTTAATATTATAGATTTTTATAAAAGATGAAAGTGAACAGCCAAATAAAGAGGTACACAGGCTGAGGTCAGGAGCCTCTGTCCCCATGGAGTTGGGGTGCATGTGATCCCACCAGGACGTGAATATGCTCACCAACTTGGAAGGTCTCCAATTCCCTTTGTTTAGGGATGTTTATGGAGTTCCCTTGTAGGCATGATGGGTTAAATTATTGGCCACTGGTGATTGAACTCAGCTTCCAGCCTTTGTTCCCTCTCTGGAGATGGTGAGAGGAGGGGAAGGGCTGAAAGTTTCCACCTTCTTGTCCCAGCCCCTATCCTGAAGCTGTCTAGGGGTCCAGCAAGAGTCACCTTATAAACTCAGGTAGGTTTGAAAGGGGCTTGTTAAGAATAAAAAAAAGATGCTCCTATTACTCATGACTCAGGAAATTCAGAGGATTTAAGGAGCTCTGTGCAAGGAACCAGAAACAAGACCAAATTTATTTTTATTATACCATAACTGGGCTTCCTACAGGTAGTAGAGAAGAGGTTATGCAGGCGGGGCAAGGATAGAGATTTTTTCTTTCATGCTGAACATTTCTGAACCTTTTCCCTAGCCACATCTACTGTTCAGGTATCTATTGTTGCATATCATTTTTACTCCCTTAAACTACAGTGACTTAAAACAAAAAATAATTATCGTACAATTTTGGAGAAACAGGAAATTGTGCACAGCTCAGCTGGGCACCTCTGATAGGTGTCTTCTATGAGGATACAGTCAAGCTGTCAGGCAGGGGCGTGGTCTCAATTGAGTGGAGCATCTGGTCCCAAGCTCACACATAGTTGCCGGCCTACCTCGGACCTCAGCATGTGGACCTCTCCATAGGGCTGTTCACAGTATGACAGCTTGCTTTCCCCAAAGCAAGCAATCCAAGTGAGAGAGAACAAGACAGGGCCCCCAAGATGGAAGCCACGGTCTTTTAATAACAGTCTCAGGAGTGACATCCCATTACTTCTTCCAAATTCTGTTCTTTAGATATGAGTCATTAAGTCCAATTTACACTCAAGCAGAGGGTATTACACAAAGACATGATACTAGGATGTTGGATCATTTATGCCTACCTTAGAGGCTATCTACCGTGGTCGCCCAAACATAATTAATTGGCTTTGGTAAATGGTAGGAACCACTGGACAACAGGGGAGAAAGGAAATTATAAAGACATTTCTAAAGCTTCTCCAAAGCTTTGTTCAAAGTACTCTCATTGACCAAAACCTATTCTGATTAATTTTATAGTCAGTAGCTGGATCTCAGCAAGAAGGCTATATACAATCAAAGGAGTAAAATCCCAGGAGAAGGAAATAGTTTAACTTTATGTACTTGCTGTCAAGTGATAACAACCTCATGTGCCCATCTTTTTAAAGGGCGAACCAGGTTTCATTGGTCCTCAAGGAGAGCCAGGCTTACCAGGGTTACCAGGAGCCAAGGTGAGTGGGGTCTTTTTTTTCTTTCCTTTCTTTCTCAATTTTTCTGTCATATATTTTTAGTTCATTAGGTTAAAAGATGTGTGGGGTAACTTTATTATTTAGGTGAACATATATGTTAGCCTAATAGAGAACTAAAGCATTCTATCACCCCTTCTAACACTTCTAATGGAGATACCATCTTAAATAGAGTAACAGGAAGTTCATTTTAGCCTTAGGTAAGACAACAGGGAGGTAGAATATCTTAGTTGTTCCAGTTGCCCCAAAATTGCTCCTAAATTGATGTAATGTTATTAGCTTCCTGGCCATATGGAAAAGTGGGGGAATTCTGAGGAGGAGAGATAGAACTCATTAACTCCTGCCCCTTATCACTGATTTTAGAACATACTTGTAAATCAACATTATTATTATTCCCACATCACTCCCTAGATTTTAAGGAGTACTGATGTCATATAGATTCCTAAGTGCCTCATGCCAGAGAGATCCATTCTGAAAAACGTTTGCAGAAAGATTCTGTAATGAAAACCATCTCATAATCTTCCACTTGGCAACCCTAGAGAGGGCCCTAAAAGCACAATCTATATGCCGGCAAATAAAAAAATTACGTTGCTATGGATACAGTCAGGCCTATGGTTTTCTTTTTATCTACCCAGTAAGACAGAAAAAGGTACTGCTCTGAGGATGGAACCTTCCTCGTGACAGATTCATGAATCAAGGGAAGGGCAAAATTAGATCAAACTACTTTTTTTTTTAACTATAGCAGTCTTTGCCTCAGTATGTATTGCATCCGCCAGAAATAAACCAGGATGATTTCCAGGAGCTGGAGAAATGTGTTCATGGTCTGTTCTGACAGAAGGGTCCTCATTCCCTCTGGTCGGGAGAAAATAGCTCTAATCCTAGTACATGGGAACTGTGTGTGGCCCAAGGGGGACTGACACTTTGTCGAATTTATGCAAAATTGCTTTTTTTCCAAGCAATTTCTTTTTCACATAATGAGCTGTCACGCTTACTAACAAAATATGAGAAATGCCTGTTTTAGCCTGAACAGATCACACAAGAAACACACTTTCTGGAATAAAGGGAGAGCGAGAGAATAATGAGCACTCTGTGTCCACGCGAGAACCGTGGTACTCCCTGGGCTTGCAGCCCCCGGGAAGGAAGGCGTCTCGGTTCCCGCACAAACAGGGGAAGCCCGGCCAGTGCAGCAGAGAAGCGGGCATGCGCTAACTAATCTCCACATGTTTGGGAACAGTGCAGAGTGGAGTGTATCCCAAATATCTCTTCTTTAGTTTACTGATTTTAAACTATTGCGCGGTTTCAAAAAATCCAGATGTAGAGCCCTAAAGTCAACATTAATTATTGTTCATGAAGGACCCAGCCCGATTTTACAGACCGGATACTTTTATAATGGATACTACCCTGAACTTCCAATAAAAGTAAAGAATGTAAGGTACCAGTTTTGTATTTCCACAAGAAGGGATGTAGATAGGAAATTCATTTTATTAACGATATCACGAAGTCTGTTTTTCAGCTAAATTGTCTATCTTTCATCAATTAGGTATTGTAATGGAAAAGTCATGATTATGTAAAATCATGCAGCCAAATGCTAGTTTTTTTTCTCTTGCAGCCAAATGCTAGTTTTTCCCCCCAGTTTTGTAGGTAGTCTAGATTTGTCCCACTGAATTGAAAAAAAATAAATTAGCCCTGCCTTTTACCCCCAACACAGTGAAGTGAAATCATAATGAAGGAAGATAGATAATGCCACTTAAAAAGGCAAAAGATTTATACGACCTGAAGAGAAACCAGAGTATAGATAATGCCATTTAAAAATCTATTTATGCATTGCTATATCCTCAGCGTCTACCTCAGTTCTTGGGACAGACATACAGCAGCCTAAAGAGATAGGGTGTTATTCCCAATAATTTAGAATATTTTGAGTACTACTGTTTATTCACTAATTCAATATTTTTGTTTGGCCAGACAGTTTTCTAGTGTTTGAGAATGAAGAGTGAATGGAGCAAAAACACTCTCTGCTCTTCTGACACTTACATTCCAGTGTGTTTGAGGGAGGGCAGGAGGGGGGAGGAGGAAAGAAATAGTGTGATCCAGAAAGTGATAAGCAACTAATTAAGGGCACTGGGATTTTTTTAAAAAAGTGATTCTAGGTAAATATATATTGACTCTACTCCTATGGCATATTACAGATAAATGATTTGCTTAGCTTTTTGTTTATCCCTAAAATATTACCTTATAAGTTACTATTTTAGAATTCTTCTATAAAATATTAAGAAAAACACTAAATATGGTATTTTCTAAAGTAAAAATTTCATCTATTGGCCAACATGCATCCTTTGCATCTCTAATCCCTGGAAAAACCTTCTGGAGCATCTTTTTCATCTCCTGCACCCGGTCACATGCCTGCTGTTCTCCCACCTTCTTCATTTTCCCAGTCTCCTGGGTTCATGCTGAGAAACCTACTGGGACTTCTGTCATCCTTGCCCTGCTCTGTCCCATCTCCCCCCCAAAACCATAAAGGCTTCCCAGAGTGGGAACGACACAGATAAAGATCTCAAATTTTAAAGCCCTACATCATCCATAAAGATCCAATCCATTTTCTTCTCTTTTCCGAGATGAGTCCATTCCTTCTGTAAACATGCTAACACCAGGCTGAACTGAAAACCTGATTGATTATTAAAATCCTACCCACCATGCAGGAAGCTAGACAGGCTACTCTCTGTCTTGCCAGAGGGTGATTTAGCAAACTTCTAAAATGTTCATACTTTTTCACACAGCAATTCCTCAACTACAAATTTACCTTAAGCAAATGACCAGAAATATTCAAAGGGTTACATGCAAAAATGTTTATACAGAAGTTGAAAATGAAGCACAAAGTATGAAATTGAAGTTCTAAATTACAGCTTTTCCTTTTAAAAGCTTTGTGACTTTGAGAAAGTTACTTAGCTTTTCTGAACTTCAGTCACCTCATCTGTAGACTATGAATACTAACACCTTTCTCATCTGCCCTGAGGAGTAAATAGAGTAATGCACGTTAAGTGTTTTGTGAAGTTCCTGTACTCATTAATAACACAGTCATAAACAGCATAATTATAAAGTGCAACCTACTCATCCTTCAGAACATGGCTTGACTCACATTCAGGGAGATAGCCTGTACTATTGAGACCCTATGGGCTTCCTCTTCTCTCACCTATGGCCTTATGTTACTCCTTGATTCTTAACTATTTTGTTATGTAGATCTTGTCTGTCTAACCAGATCACTAGCTCCTTGGGGCCAGTGACCTTGTTTGTACTTCACAGAGCTGTGATTAAAAGCTGTAATACCTATGTGTCTTATACCATGCTGAGCACTTTACATTTATAAGTTACGAGATCAGCACTATAATTTTTTATATTTTACAGAGGAAATTGAGTCTTTGGGAACTTAACTAATTTGCCCCAAAACAGAGAACTGATAAATAACAGAGCTGGGGTTAAGCACAAGGATGCGGGATTACAAATAGCCTGGCCATGGTAGAGCGACAAGCGATAACCATCACCCGGCCTTGACCACTTTGCCATGCTTCATCCCAGTGGTACTTAGGAAGTGGCTGCAGAATGGAAACTAAGTCTGTCTCCGTTTCGAGGTATCATCATGGCCCTTATCAAGTCCTTTTAAAGGCCTTGCATGTACCAGCATAGGTTTCTGACAGGCATTTACCGATTCATTTCCTTAGCTGTCAAATGGAAATGATAATGCAGTTGATTGAACTATCATTTTATTAAATGAGATAAATCATGCTGAAATGAATACAGTGCTGGGTACATGATAAATAAGTGGTGACTCTCTGTTTTCTTTCATCTTATTCAGCTTATTTATTAATCTACAGGGACTGGCTCGGGTGGGGGTGGAGAGGGAGGTTGCCACTCCCTGGTTTTGCCATTTGTGACAGGGCGACCGAGGGGAGGCGGGGCCTCCTGGAAGAGGCGAGCGAGGAGAGCCTGGGACCCCTGGACCAAAGGTCAGTTATTCTTACACTGGAAAATGACGTTCTTTGGTTTGGAAAACAGCAAACTAACATCTAGAAATTTCTCAAGAGACATTAATAATTTATTGAAATATAAGAATAATTTATCGAAAGGCACACCAACTGGTTCTTTTCCAAAGGAATGTTAACAATTAAGCTTTTCCTAGTTTTCTCTCTTCTTTTTGATTAACAAATTTAACGACACATCTGAATGTAAAAGGGGATTGACTGTTGCTGACAAATTATCACTCATGGGGTATTAAAAGTTGCTGAGAACATGTTGATATGTGTTGTGTTAGTTTCGATTGTGACTTGATGGTAACACCTTGAAAGTATCAGCACTAAGGATTTACTAGACTGTTCCATCTTTATTTCTCTAAACTTTCTGCATACTAATATGGTAACACTTTATTTTAATAACCCACCCTAGAGACACAAAAATGATGAGAAGGAAATTTATGCAGACACTGTTGAGACTAATGAGAATGGATCACAGCGCTCCTGCCGTCCACGGGTGGGAGGGCAGTCGGCAGTTACTGTGGGATGAAGGTTGACGGACAGACCAGGGAATGAATCAGTGAAACCGTGATGATACTTGTGTTTAGTGTTTTCATAGCCACCATTACATAAAGCCATATATTATGGTAGTTAAAATAAAGTGTTTCCATCTTTATGAGTCACCGATAATTTCTTTTTCCTGTTCTTATCTCCTCTGTCTTTTTTTCTCTTTTTCATCTTCATATTCTCCTATCATAGGGGAAACAAGGTGAATCAGGAGCTAGAGGCCCAAAGGGGTCAAAGGTCAGTAACCAGGCACTCATGTTAATGTAACATGAGGCCTTCAAGAGCTGTGCTTTTTTTGCCTCTCCCACAAAGAATCATGTTTTCAATTAAACTCTTCCATACACTGGGATTGCAATAATTTTGTCCCTATGATGATATCCCAAAACAATTGGTTTCTTTCATCTTGTTTTTGTGTGTTCCTATGCTTCAGATTATTCTTTAAGGAAAGTTGTATTTTCTGTTTCATAGGAATAGTTTCTTTGGAAAAAAAATTAAGTTCTGTACTTAATTTAACTTATGTATGGAATAATCTTATTTTTCATTTTCTGGCAATCTTTGTGATAAATGTTCAAATTATACTTTGCTTTTAAGTTAGTTGACTCCCTTCATTGCATTAAAATTTAACTACCCATTAAATTCTTTCCTTTACCATGTTCTTTATAATGTTTGCAATTATCTATGCACTGTTAGCAGAATCATGTTATTTAAGATACTTTTAGCTAATACATAACATGGAAAAATTAGTGGAAACATGAAGAAAACAGAGCAGGAATTATTCTCCATCCATAGCAAATTTAATTATCATGGATTGGTGTGGATGGATAAAAACTTTTCCTGCTTTTCCTGCTTCTCGTCATTGGTCCTTACCCAGTTTATAAGTAATATATAGAAAGGCATGTCAAAATGCTTTCAATTTCATGTAGAAAAAGATCTGAAGAAATTTAATGCTGTTTTAAAGAAACTCTAAATACACAGGTTTAAAGCTCTTCTCCAACACTTCTGTTTAGACTTCTGAGAACGCAGAGTGTTCTCGTGGTGATGTGTGCACAGTTCAGGACTTGGGCTCTCCCCAGTGACTCCCCAGGGTGGGTGGGGAGACCATAAATGGAACTTCAGAGATTTTTCATGTTGCATTTAAAACTCGGGAGAACTGGCTTTGCCCTTTCCCTGACTTTGGGCCCTGCCCACCAGTCCCAGCTATCTGCTGTCCGTGGCAGCACCTGCTGAGTGCTGAAATGCCTGTACCTACAGGAAACTTTCCTTCAATCCCCATCATCAGAGGAAGGCCTAGCTGGCGACCTATCCCTTCTGGTTTGCCCTAAAATGAGCTCTCCACTCCTTCCCTGTCTCAACATTTACACATTACTTCTGAGAGGGAAGACAAAGCGGTTGGCTCTATTTCCTCTGCCCCAAACCTTTTCATATAAAGACAAGAACATGGTTCAGTCTGAGAGGTAACAGTGTACTTTGGGTATCATGGAAACCACTTGCTTTGCTTTTGAAGATCCCTAGCAAGAGAGTAACATGCGTATTGTCGTTCCAAGATTCTCTCTCATCTTCAAGAAGCATTTGCCATGTTGGTGGTTATTGTTCTAGTTGTAATTTTCAACTCCAGAAGTTTTCACTAAGGCTGCTGCTGAATGGTATTCAATCCATCCTTAGGTCTGAGGTATTTCTAGACTGTTGGCCTGACTACTAATTAGTTTTTCTCTCTTTTCACTGGTGAAGGGCGACCGTGGTGACAAAGGAGACTCTGGAACGTTAGGACCAAGGGTGGGTGTGTCTCTCATCTAAATTTTTGCCCCCCCCCTCTCCCCGCTTACAAGCCCAGATTTAAAGTATGTGTCTGTGTGTCCTTTCACAAGGCACTTGAACTAATAGCATGAAATAATAGCACTGGAGGCAGGCTACTATAGTGATTCCTGACCACCCCCTTTCTTTTTATCTTTTATTTCAGTCACTAGTAGGGGTGAGTATGTGGATTGTAACTCATAAAACAAGGTCAAAGAGAAGAAGATCTAAAGAACCCTCTCAATCTACTTTCCTTCTGACAAATGAACAATATCGAACCCGTAGTCATCCAGCTAGTAGAATTTTCCATTTTTCAATTAGCCCAATTATACAGAAAGCAATAACCTGTATTTTCAGAGTCCTTTAAACACAGGCAAGGAATAAGGACATGACTAATGGAAATTCAGTGGCAGAGATAATGAGCAGGATAGAAGTCTTAAAAAATATGTATTCTCTTTTGTGGTCCCTGTTTGATTTTATTTTAACAGAATTCTATTCCTGTTGGGAAAACCAGGCATTTCCTAAGAACAGTGTTCTATCTTCTTAAATAGATGAGAAAGCAATAGTTGAGTTGTAGGTGACTAGAAAGGTTTGTGTTGCTTTAATAAATGTGAACAAACCCAATAAATATTTGCAAGTCATATTGGATTAGCCTACCTTTTGTAATTTTCAGGAAACAGTTTCAGATATTGAATCATGTTCTTTTTATTCAAATTTCATTTCTTTGACATCCCACAGACAAGGAAGTTAGAAATAGCTTGCATCCTTTGAAATAAAGACAAAATTCAAACATGATTTATATATGCATTTGTGCCTTTGTAGGGAATTAATGATCTAAGAAAGCTGTAAGTTGCTACTTCTGTTTTCAACATAGTCCTCTCTATATCCCTAGCCTAACCACATGGTTTTCTGTTGGTTGTTTTTTTTATAGGGTCCACCTGGCCAAAAGGGGGATCAAGGAGCCACTGAGATCATTGACTATAATGGCAACCTCCACGAAGCCTTGCAGGCAAGTGACTGTTCCCTGCCCTGATCCAGACAGTGACACTGAGGCACACTGTGTCATGTGTGTGAATATCAGCTTCCACACCCTGAGGATCCCAGAGGTCCACTGCTCCAAGCGCCCCCTCTCCCTATTCTGACCCACCCCCTTCTTTCTGCCCCAGTTTATCCCCTTTTTTTCCTAACATTTTTCAATCTTTCTTTTCCCTTCTACCTTCAGATATGCTTGAGTCCTACCTGGTGTATATCCTGTGTTAGTTTTGCCAATTTTTGCCTCCTTGATTGAAAAGCAAGCCTAGCAAAGCAATGAAAGTCCCTATGGTTCTGCAGTTGAAATTGCCTAGGTTCAAATATCAGCTCTTTTGCTTACTAAATGCGTCAAGTTCATTTACTTCTCTGTTTCTCAGTTTTCTCTAAAATGAGGACAGTCATAGTATTTACCTCATCAGGTTGTTGTGAGCCGAATGGGAGTAAGTGGCTGAGTGCCTGGCACATAGTAAGTCCTCTGTGGGTGCTTCTTATTACTGCTACCATTCAATTCTTTGTCTTCTACTAAGTAAAAACTATAGACGGTGTGGTACATCTCCATCACTTTGCACCCTAGTCGTTCTTTCCATGTTTAGACTCTTGCACTCTAGCCTATATCATCATTCTGTTGGAACTTCTCCTATAAAGGTCACTAATAACCTCTAGGTCAAGCACATTGTACTTATCATTCTTGACTTCTCTTGATATTTGTACTGAACCAACTTCCTTTTGAAACTTTTCTTTCTGGTTTCTCTGATTTCTATTCTCATTTCTTTCAGTTTTATTTTTTTTATGGATCCACTCACTTTTTGTATTTGCAGTTTCTCTGTCCATTCCCTAATTTTTGGCATCCTCATCTCTGGTCTTTTCTTGGTGCAATCACTCTCTTGTTCTTCTGCAGTATGGCTGCTTCCAAATCCTTCATTGTCAGATCAGACCTGACATGTACTTCCAGCTGTCTAGGAAAATCTCTTCTGTCTAGGAAAAGAAGGCAATGGTTACACCATTGCCTTATTAACTTCCACCAAGACACGAAATTAAACTGGTTACCTTTCCCTCCTCCCAAGTGATTCCCTTTTTAGCTAACCAGTTTCTTTTAATCAGAGCATAAATCTTTGGATTTCTTGAGATAGAAACCTTACAGTTATTTTTAAACTATTCTTAGTCCTTCACCCATTATATCTCACCAGATGCTGCTGTTTTCTTTTTCAAAGTATCTGATGAGGCTGCCCCATTCTATCCATTCCCAATTGGGTCCACATTTCAGGTCTAACACCGCAACAAGCCCTCAGCCAATTCCTCTGCCCTAATGACTCTTCTGATCCATCCTGTTATCACTCCAAGGCTCACTTTCCTGGTTTTTGCTATTCTGATGGTTTCAGTGTGCTCACAAACCTAAAGGGACCGCCTCACCTACTCTGTGAAGCTCAGACTTCTCCATCAGGCCTCTAGGGCTCTGAAACCCTGCCTTTTCTGTACAGAAATTTCTATTTCTCTACAGCACATTTTCCCCCAAATCAGTCACATTGATCACAGCCATAAAGTCCCCCTCTTTTTGCCTGGTCTGTGCCATTCTTCTTTCCTTTTTACATCCATCTAAATAATTTCCAAAAATCCTCTGCCACCACCCAGATGGGTTGCCCCTCTTAGCCCTTTAAATGTCAGCAGTCAGGGCCCAGTAGTTCAATATTGAATTATTCTTAAATCATACAGATTGTTTTAGTGTAGCTGCTTACCTGACTGGGAGTTGCTCAGTGACAGGAAACATGTCTCATGCTTACTCTGTATCCCCAAAGTGCCTGACCCAGGTCTGGCATAAATAGTAAATAAACTTATTGGTTGAATGAGTGAGTATATTTAGCTCCTACACACAAATTTTTTTTCTACTTGAAAGGCAAATTGGTTGTTTTAAATATTTGCTATTTTGTTTGGTTTTTTCCTCCTATCCTTGTGATTCACTAACATTAATTTTGGTAGGCATACGTTTCTGTGGCTCCTTTGGTACAACTACCATTTTGAACTAGTAAAGCATTAAATAGCTTTTGCAGAGTCAGTGTTCGGCTCAGCCTGCCTTTCTTTTCATTGGCACGTATGAGGAAAGAGAGAAACAGAACAAGAAGCTGAGGCGTATCTGCTATGTTTTCAAAGTTCTTCCTTATAAAATAGAGGGGCACTTTTTAAACTTAATTTATTAACAGTGCTGTAAATTTTTTAAAGCTGCTTCCAGTGGTGCCATAATTCTTACTGCTGTCTTTAAGATTCTCTTACCTTCCAAGAAATGCTCCAGTATTATTGAATTTTCCATTTTCTGAAACCTTGTGAAAGAGTAATTTTAAAGCATTCTGTGCATGAAGAGGGCTTGGCATGGAGCCATTTCTATCTTAAGAAATTCAGAGACTTTTGGTATCATTAACAGACACTGGTTAGTTAAGAAAAGCAACCGCTGAGCCTAAACCTAAATCTCTGTTTCAATCTCCCCTCCATTGCTAACTAAGTCATTTAGGGGAAATCAGTGTATCTATACTTACTTCATTGATTGTATCTGTAAAATGAAGATCTGAGAGAATAAGTTATATTCTAAAAATCTATAAAATCTAGCATCATGCTTAGGATTATTTTCAGGAGCTCCTGAACCCTTTTTGCTGCTGTGCCTAAGCACACTGCACTTTATTAAAATCCCGACACCTGCATCTCAGCATGAGAGGATTTTGTGCTCAGGTCCTTCCCCTCACCCGGAGTTCTGTACGGCCGTCCACAAGTCACAATTCACCATAATCAACCAGTCCACATTTGTATCTCAACCTGTGGAGATTTATTCTTTTTGGGGACTTGTTAGGGCAACAATATGTTGTGCTTGTAAATAGTTCATAATTTCTTTTTCACTTCAGAGCTATTTATTTGCTTTCCTAATTATGTACAGTAGTGGATTAAGAAAATCCGTAATAAAATGAACTAAACTAAATAATGATTAGATTGAGAGGAAGTTGAGGACATTCATTCTTCTAATTCTCTAACCAGTGATGGATTTTCGCAGTTTTGCCCAATTTCATTTCTCTATTGCATCCTCTAAAAAAAAAATCTGCAAACAAACTAGGATAATTAGACAAATAGGAATATATTGCAGTTATAAAAATATCACATTACAAATATAAAATTTTACTGTTGTCTCTATTCAGTTATTATTTACATGAACATTTGCCATGAGCCATTTATTTTTATTTTTATTTAAGGTAATTACATTTCCACAATTAGCAATAAAAATCTTTCCATTTCCTACTCAAGCTTTTAAAATTCCCCAACACCATTCAAACTCAACCTGTTCTGTAGTGTAAGTCATTGGTGATTTTAAGCTTGCATCTTCATCAGAAATGGAACATAGTAACCTTTAATTCCAATAACCTTTCACCTCACCCAAGTATCTCAGGGAATAAATCACAGAGTAGCCTGACAGCCTCCCACCAGTTTACAGTCGTGGTAGCCTCCCATCTCACGCCATGCCTCACTAGAGAATGGCGTGTCTTTCTTCATCACGGCCAACATTCTGGTTTTCAAATCATTACTGAACTTCAAGAGAGAATCCCTGCTGAGTTTCTGTAGCTTTAATGAGAAGAACCAGAGCCCTGGCAGGGGTGCCTCATTTGGTTGGGTGTCGTCCTGTAGACCGAGAGGTCTCAGATTCAGTTCCCAGCCTGGGTTCCATGTTCTGTCCCCAGTCAGGGTGCATGCAAAGGGCAACCAGTTGAGGTATCTCTCTCACACTGATGTTTCTCTCCCTTCATCCCTCCCTTTCCCTCTTTCTACAATCAATAAAAGGGAAAAAATAAAAATAAATAAATAAATAGCCAGATACCAGAAGTCCAACGTGAGCAGACATCTTTCCGTCGTCTTTGTCATCTGCACACTGGTGCTTCAGGATGGCAGTAAAGACTTGGTTTTGAGAAATTAGCCTAGTTTACTGTCACTTGTTCTTCTGTTAACTGGATGGAACCTGCCCTGTATAATTTTTATCTTACAAATACAGTAATTTAACAAGATCACTCAAACTCAATCTGTCAGACAGTTCAGTAACCATTAATACTATTTTTTACTAAGCACCTCATTATCAAACAGACTATTATCCTTAAATTAAAAAAAAAAAGACAGACTAGTTTTGTGTTTAGGTGAAAAGTGAATTATACATGGCACATGTTGGAAAACCCTTGAGAGTTGAAATTTTAAACTTCCTTCCCTTTCTAAGGTCTTATGATTCTACTTTCTAGTGAAGATTGCAATATGTAATTGGAAGATAATGATAAAGAAATTATTGCTGCTCTATGATTTTCTAACAACTTTTTTTGAATGACTCATCTACCTATAGCAGTGAAGAAATAGCTTTCTTATAACCATAAATTTGACTCTAGCTTTAGGTGGATCCCATAAGCATAAAGTATGTGGTATCTTAATTTACACAGATATGATGGCATAAAAATCTGGGCCTTGTTTTTTTGTTTGTTTTCTTTTTTTATAAACTTGCCCAAGTTTGTGGTAACTTTGCCTTGGTCTTAGAAGTACTGCTTGATTTTCTCCTACTATGATTTCTCTGTAGCTGTAATGACCAGAATTGATTTTATCATAGAGCACAGAATCAAACCATGTATGCACATGCATAAATGTATTGTTTTCTACGAAATAATGACACCATGTCACTGGAAACTTCAGCGTTTGAAGTAGATAGATAATGTTAAGATTATTTTCCACCACAACTATAAAAAACAAACCTGCAACAACAACCTGAATCAGAAATTGAACGGAGTAGTGGAAAACAAGGGGATCACGTTAAAGCAGTGTTCACAAGTTTACACGCAGTTGTATAGCACTTCTCTGTTGCGACTGGGGTCCCTGATGGAGAGTGTTTTCCCCTCTACGACTGCATGAATTGGCCATAGGTCCTAAAGACCATTTAGCACAAGGCTCAAACTAGAAACTATTGGTTCAGAAATGATTCATGAATCAAGTGTTTGGGAGATTTATATTTTCAGAGAACTTATATTTTGTTACAGTACTCTAGCACTTTACATTAAGAAATTAGATAAATCCCATGTCGGCTTCTCTCTTTAGATGTGGCATGCACACACACGCCATGAGGTACAGACTAAAAGAGGAAAACATGCCACTTACACAATTAGCTGGCTTGGTTTTCTCTAATCAAAGTAGTCTAGATGAGAGCTCTCATGAATGATGGGGTTTCTCAGGTCACAGTTACACTGACCAACCTCTAGTGTATAATATTTTATACATAATTTAAAAAATCAGGTGAATTAAAATTTTCACACCTTCTTTTTAGTCCATAGATTTTCTTAAAAAAATAAGTTTAAAGTAATGTTTAAAGTCCAAAAGTAATGTTTAAAAGAATCTTTATAATATATTGTATTCATTGGAAGATAGATAATATGCTCTCAGATTCTTGCCAATTCCTTATGAGATATCAGTCTTGCCAAAACATATTCAAAAATTCAATCATTTCAGAATGTATTACTGTATTTGGCACACAAAATAGGTAACTTTGTCTTTGTCGATTCGCTTTCTCAACAGAGGATCACCACCTTAACCGTCACGGTAACTCCCATTGCATGGTTTCTGTGGTTTGGGGCTTCCTACTTGATATCGATGCATGCTTTTCCTAATGGTACTAATGAGGCAGTTGCCTTCATCTGAGATTTTTGTTTTTCTTATACTAATAACTTTTTCCACTTTTGCCCCAGGGGAATCACTTTGCTTAGTAAAAAAAGGTCCAAAAACTTGTTTTTCTTGTAAGTCTTTGGCCTTATCTCAATTATGTAGCTTTTTTCTTTAGTGTTCAGGAAATCAAAGCCTTTAGAGGGGAGGGGAGAAATGTGTCTGGAAACACAGGTAATATTAATAAACTAACTCAACCCAAGATGCTCCTGTGAGCCATGGCAGCAGTTTTTACGTTGTCTTACAGATCAACCCAAAAGCATCTTCAGTTATTATTGTCACCTAAATGTTTGTTGATGTGTATGCATATATAGGTAGTTTAGGGAGTTTTCAAATTCTATAACCAGTGGTATTTTTCCTCATTTCAATCAATATTGGGGAATATTTGATTGTGATATAAATTAGTAATGTGTGTAGTATACTTATTACTGAAAGCATAAAATTTAAGACATAGATTTGGCTACTTTTTATAATTTTGTCTTTTCTGGATTTAGGGTCCCCCTGGACCACCTGGACCTCAAGGACTACAAGGACCAAAGGTTATTTTTTATTTTACTAGTTTCCATTGACCACATATGGTACAGAGAATTGCTATATTAAGTATTTCTATCTTTGAAAATCAGTCTTACAAAATGCTGAAGAAGGTGAGATCAGCAGTATTGCTCAAGGAGGTAAGAAGAGAAATTGAGGTTTGGGCTAAAGGAAGAGGAATCAGGAAAAAAAGGAAACTTAGGAAGGAAGGAAGAGAAATAGGAATGGCAACTTAAATTTAGGAGGAGGAAATGGAGAAAGACAGAGAATATTAAACAAGGGAACAATAAGTTTTACAGAAATTATAAACACAAACACTAAATGTGGTATCTGAAGGAAGGAAAATATTTAAATAGAGAAGGATTGAAGGAAAATTTATGCAGACACTGAAAATGATCCTTTCTTCCAGTCATTTTGCAATAAAAAGAATAAGGGGACCTTTAGTATGTTGTGTGTACAATGACAATGTTAAAGAATCACTTTCAAGTCATTTTGTATAACACATCCTATCATTATATGTATTCAGACATTCTGTCATTTACATCTTATCTAATGAAGCATACCAACTATAAATAGTAGAAACTTAAAATTACTTGATTATATCTAAAATTTGTTGCTGGTTTAGCTTTCTCCCTCCACACTAAAGCTTTAGTCATGTGACCAGTTCACACATGGCCAGTTACTCTGGCTTTTCACAACTAAGCTATGTGTGTTGAAATACGACTTTCATCATTGGATTTTTACAGGTAATTCAGATGGTTTAGAAATCTGTCTTTTGTTTATGCTTCTTGAGGCAGTTTATTTGCTAAGTCTATTATATACGTACAGACACACACATATCAGCCTTTGCTTGTACTCCTCACTTTTGAGCTACTTAAGAACAGAGAGCCAGCACATAGAAACAGTTATTTTTCTATTATAAAAAGAAACATAAAGTAAAACATTACTTAGGTCGTTGGGCATCTGAAATCATATTTGAACACAGACCTTAACCTCAAACAGATTTCCTGTATAACAGTGTGAGATGAGGTTTGGGACTTTTAATTTTCTGTTTCTCTACCACATTCCGGTCATGCATAATCTCTGTTCCGGTGAACACGTCAGCCTGGATTTTCATTCTTTAATATCTTGGTGAGCTGACTAGATAAGCTAGAAGGAAACCTGCAGGTTATTTTTCCTCTATGTACAGTTGGCCAGGTCTGAGTTTTTTGTTTCATCTCCTCAGTTGCCCAAGTCTCCAGAAAAAAATTGCCCCCAGTGCTAAACATGCACCTCATTCCCCACAAAGCTCCACAACCTCTAGGACTTTTCTTTATAGCCCAAACACCTACAGAAGCCCGAAAGGTACCCATCCCTTCACCCACGGGGACAAAAGGGGCCACCTGACCAAGGGGGCTGTATCCTTGAAATCTATATCCCCTTTGTTTTATACTCTAATTGCTGTTCATTTATTAATTCAATTATCCAACAAGTAATTTTTTAGCCTCTATTCTGTGATAAGCACTAACATCTAGTAATGATACTATGGTATAGTGAGGGGTTTCATCCAGGGGATTACAGCCTGGAGAGGGAGATAGTTAAGTAGAGACACAGTTATTTATAAATAAGTGTAAGTGCACTGATCAAGATGTGAATGAAGAAGGTTGTCACAGCCTTGGGAATCAAGGATGACTTTGAGCTGAAACTGAAAGACAGGGAAATTAGCCAAATGAATGTCTAGACAAGTAGAATGGGGGTGGTGTTTAGTCATACTCTCTTGCCCAGCCATCCTTCCCAATGTGCGGTCTTTCTGCCCCACCCTTCACATCTCACAGAGACCTGATCATTAAGATCTTGGGTCAGTGGATGGGGGCCTTTATGTGTTCCATGAACTCTCCTGGAGGAAGCTGAGGTAAGTGGGGTGAGATGTGCCTGTGACCAAGACTCTACAGTACAGCCTGAGCCAAATGTAAACCCCATTCAAACTCAGGAGTCACAACCTCGGACTGAACGAGGACCTTTCCAATTAGCATTGCTCCTTCCTTCATCAAGTAAGGATTGTGTGAATTCTTACACATCATGTAACTCTTCACAAGCTACATTTGACAGATGAAGGATAAGTGACTAACTCGCGAATTAGGTTTTTCTTTTACAGTCATGGGTCACACTTTGAAGGTAAAAGTTCAGCAAAGCAGTCATTATTGGGCCCTGAGCCCTGACAGGGATGCAGAAGGAATGAAACTAGGGCTTAACTGGTTGCATCCACCCTCAGCTGGCTTCTTTGTGGCAAAATAAACTTAGCTGCCACCACAAGGAGCAGGAAATCTGGTAAAGAAAAGCCCTTTCTCTTCTGTTCCTTTGTCTTTTTTCATTTGTTTGTCATGCCTTCTAAAACACTGGAAAGCTCAAATTTCATGCTGTGGCCAATAGCCGTTAGAGTTTTTACAGGGGAAAAGAGCTCTAGCCATTTCAGTGTTGTGGTTTACAACATCACCGAACAAGTCTTTCTAGAAAAATACAGCCTCAACTCAGCTCCCTTGGAATCTGTCCGTGAGGCAGGCCACTCAACCCTCAACAGAGCTGCTTTTACAAAGTGTCTACAATGTGAAAACAAAGGATACTGATAATGGGGTCCAAATACATGATTCCTTGATCTAAAATAATATCTTGCCTTTCAAAGAATTTGTTTCATATCTTTCCAGCTGAAAGGTGATTGACATTTGTTGTTTGAAAAAAATCTCTAGCACATTGTTTAAATTTGTTTTTAATGGAACATCTTTAGTTAACAAAAAATAAATCTATGTATTTTAAGTTTGTCAAGAGTTTTAATAAATCACAATATAAATAGGAAATTTGGTGCATTCCTAGCATAGTATAAGAAATTGAATTGATCCAAAAGTAATTTTATGTGGATTAAGATATTATTTGATTTATTGTAGCCCTCAGTGAGGCTGATCTGAAAGTAACATTCACAGTCATTGTAAGTTTGTGTCTATGGTTCACACAGTGCCAGCTAAAATATTGTGAATTTAAGGGACTTTGCATTTCATTCTTTCTTAAGATGACTATCATATTTTTGCTTCTTTTTCTCAAGTTGAAAAATAAGAGAAATCATACAGATTTTTTTAAGGAGAAAAAATTAACTGAGGCATGAAAAAATGACTTTTTCATTCAGTTTCCTTTTACCATTTTTTCAGCCTGCATCTCACCTGAGGGAAAAAAAATTTAAACTAGATCTTAGTGACATATAAGTATTGTTATACATAATACTCAAGAAAATGGTCTTGCACTTAGTTTAGATATGTGTTGTGATATAATAGCATATTCCTGGGTCATGATACATTTGCTGAAAGCCAAATTGTACTGTTACCAACTAGTAACATTTTTGTATAGTTTAATATGCTGCCAATGATAAACGCAAGGAAGCCATCAATTTTTATCTTAACAGGGAGAGCCGGGATCTCCAGGAATCCCAGGAGTTGATGGAGAGCAGGTAATTTTAAAGATACATACTGTCATTTAAAGCATTGTTATTGATCACTACTTCTATTGTACATTTGAAGCCAAGAAAGGCATGGGTGTTGATGTATGATAGCCTTTTTTTAACCATCTTTTCTGGAGACTGTATTAACTCTAAAAAGTAATTGGTTTTAAATTAGATAGTTTTCTTCACAGAAACATACAAGCTATATGATGCTTTAGTTTTGTCTTTAAACTTTTTATCAATCTACCAGTGATACTTTTGTGAATTTTTAATAGACTTGTAAACTTATTACCTATTTAGGAGAAATAGCCTACTTTGTGTCAGTGAATATAAATGATTCAAGATGAAAATCAGTGACATAGTTTCCACAAAATTCGCTATATGTATTTTCTTTTCCCAAGTAACGATCACACTTCATTTTCTAGACCATCAGAAAAGACAGAAACAAACAGGGCTGTTGTAGCTTTGCAGGGATGGCAGTTTCTCTAAGGTTTTCCCCCAAAACAGAGGTTGGCAAAGTTTTCCTTTAAAGGACCAGATAGTAAATGTTTTAGGCTTTGCAGGCCACATACAGCTTCCGCTGCATATCCTTTTCTTTTTTTTAACACCCTTTAAAATTTTTTTAAACTTTCAGCCTGTGCAAAAACAAGTGATGGGCTGGATGGATTTGGCCCATAAGCCAAAAAGAACCTGGCCAGGAAATTGTAGAGAGTCTTCAAATTTCAGACTTAAATCACAGGGTTAGTTTCAGGCTATTTGCTATTTTCTCTGCTTTCATAATTTACCAAAGAAATAGCTAAAATCAAGTAGATCATAAGAAATCAAGGGGATTTGGAGACAGTGAAATATACTCATCAGGTGATAGTATTAAAAACATTAAGTGTAAGAGAAGACCTATTATATCAGAGTTATATGTGGAAAGTACATGATGTCATGGTAAATAAATGTGGTAGTTAACAAGAGACGATGGTTCCCCCGTATCAGTGAGAGATCACGATAGAATTGTAAAGCCTGGTTACATGGATTCTTTCACCACTCCTGGTCGTTACAAATAACCTGACGTGCATAACAGCGTGCCTCGTGATCTCTGCATGCACAGTAGCTGGACTTTTCCTCTAGGTTTTCCAAGGTTTTCCTCTGCTGCTCTGTCCAGAGGGTGAGCTATTCTGCTGATATCCTTAGAATCCTAAAACTAACCAAGGTCTGACCAACCATAAGATTTACTTAGTCATTCAGGCACCTACCCATTCACCTAATGGGTGATTCTGAAGTAGGTGCTATAAAATAGGTATAAGTAACAGGACAAGAAACATTTCTGTTTTTAGTACAGAAAGGATGAGCAGGCTGTGTAGCCTCAGAGCCCCTTATTACAACAGCTATGATTACCTCTGCTGAAGAATGGGCCGTCTGGTCATGTTGTACCGAGGAATGCAGTTTTAAGGAATGAAGAAATTACATTTTCCTTCAATGAAAATGCTTAACAAGATAAATTAATTTCAGTATTAATATCACTAATTCAGAGTCACTAGCATTCAGAATATCCACTACTGATTGCCTTGTAATAAAAGGAGGATAAAAACAACATCCTGGATCACCTCACAGAGATGTCATGAAAACAAAATAAGAACACGGTGGAAAAGTGAAGTCTTTCTGAACACTGATCGAGCATCAGTGTGCAGTGACTGATGGGGCCATTGAAAGCGGCTGGTGGCTGGAACTTCTGCCTCCATTTAAAGGGGCCACAGGGCATCTAGTGGGAGATGGGAGAAATTTGTTTGGACCTTTGTTGTTAAAACACTAGCTTCTGGTTCAAATGTGTATTGCACTGTTGAGAATTAAATCTATGAAATTATTTCAGGACTGGTGATACAGAATTAGCTGCCAGGTAAGGACATAGGATCAGGAGAAATGATGTCGATACCTAAGTTCATGTTTTTCATATGTACATGGCCTGAACAATAGAATTTAATCACTTCTATTATGTAGGGAAACCGTGTTGATTGAATGCAGAAGGCTGCTGCTAGAACTACCCCCACCTAAAAATGAACATCAGAATCACCACCCTAGAAGGACCCACCTAATGACAAAACTGATCGGAATTCTGTTTTCTCTAGGAGGTAACTGTCAAGGGTCAGTATGATTCTTACATGCAAACTGTGTCATTTGTAGGGACTCAAGGGCTCCAAGGGAGACATGGGTGACCCGGGTGCACCAGGTGAAAAAGGAGGAATCGGACTTCCTGGACTACCGGTATGTTTGTGCTCATGTCCAGGTAAATGATCAGGAAAGAACTGCATTGTTAGCCATGGTCTCCTCTAATACTTCATATAATGTTATTATTTTTAAGTATTTGAGGTATTGCTGTTTAATTCCTGCAACTGAGGCTCTACAACAAATTTTAAAGCATCTAAATAAGTTAAATATAAAATAAACCTTCATGTTTCCTGAATTATTTTCACTAGAAGATGGTAAAATAAATGAACTTCATCACTTTAATTTAATATACATGAGACAGTGATAACTTCACTTTTAAATAAACTAATTTAAAAGTAAACAAATCAAAAAATATATAAAACAATTAAAAAACAAATTAGTCTGGAAATTGTTCTCTTTATGTGTATGATACAATGGGATGGTGTTTTTATGATTTTCCCCATAATTTTTACAGAGAAATGGTAGGGAAAATTGTAGGAAAATGTAGGAAAAATGCAGAAAACTTTACCACCCTCAATTTTTAAAACAGGGAAGTATATAAATAAATGTCAGTGATAACATAGTTAAAAGACTGACCTTTCTGGCACCACCATAAAAAATATGTAACATTTAATATGATATGTTCAGCAATGTATGAGTTTAACCAATTGAGCCTAAGTTAGTTTACATCGCATTTACTTTCTATTTTATTTCACATATCACCCACAGTCTAAGGGTTTGGGGAGGCTTGCTGTTTGAGGCTAAATTCAGGGGAATAAATCCTTCTTTTACATATCATGTGTACAGTATAAAAATTTCAAAAGGATGATGGATTTTGGAAGGAAATTCAGCTGTTCCTTACACTTTGGAAAGAACTTGACCAGCTCAACTCTCTTAATGATTATTTGTAGGGTGCCAATGGGATGAAAGGAGAGAAAGGAGACTCCGGACTGCCAGGTCCTCAGGGCCCTTCCGTAAGTCCGCGGTGGCCAAACTTCCATGGCTCCTGTGAAACTCCGCAACGGGCCTATTATTCATCTAGTTCACTCTGTGCCAGATGGCTTATCAACAGCAGAAAGACCATGAACGTCTTGGTTTGTCAAACTGTAGAATAAATACCTGTCAGCCTTGTGTACAATAAGAAACAAAATGTTTCAGAGGTCTCAGTTAGAAGCAATTTTTCAGAGGACTGCCTAATCCTGGGGAAGAAAAATCAATGGTTTTCCCACGACACTTGCGGGTAGAGCTCTGTGAATATAGAACATACGTTCTTTTCTTTTTCTCCAGAGCCCTGTTGTTGCCTAGTGAAATATTGGAGAATTCAATAGTGGTTGTGGCATTGTAGCATTTCTTGGTAATCAGTTGCTTCCTTTTCTTTTAATGTACTTTTGATTTATTCTGGCTTTTGTAAAACAACTGTATTTTTTAAAGTTTTTGTTGTTCCCATAAAGGAATTTCTATGCCTAGAGAATCAAACACATCATTTCTTCCCAGTATCCTTCTTGCTCTGTAACTATTAATGGTCTTAGCAGAAACCCAGCAAAAGATTCAAGCCAAACCGCCTTATCTAAATGAAGTAACCAAACCCATGTTTATTGTTTGGACACACAGATCATAGGCCCACCAGGCCCTCCAGGTCCCCACGGCCCACCCGGCCCCATGGTAAGTCTCCCCTCTCTCCAGAATGCAATCTCTTATTTATGAGCATGCTACTAGAGAAAACATGAGTGCATTCCTCAAAACAGCCTGCTTGTATTTCAGACTACTTACTCTCTGCGGAATGGATGGAAAATACGAGGTGCTCTGAGATATACTGACTTTACGGTGTTGTCTTTCCCTCCCCCAAACACGTCTGTTGGGGAGAGATAGAGCAGCTTTTGTGATAGGAAAGTTGGAGACAGACAGATCTGGCAAACTTTACCCCACTCTAACAACGCAAACACTGGAAAATCATTCTAAACACTGCTCTAGGCCATTAGTAGCAAAACAAAATTAATATTGGTAACCATTAATGAATGTTTCTAACCAACTTTGAAGACTAACATCTTTTCATGAAATGTCCAGTGAGAACATTTATGAAATAATATGATAAAAATTGAAGCTCACTTCCACAGATGCCATACGTTGCTGGGTCTTTTCCTTTGTACTTTTGTGATACTTTGACAGACACAGTGTGTAACTGCAGGTGTCCCTCAGCCACCGATGTAGGCAATGACCATGTCCTCGCAGAACTTACATCCAGTGAGGGAGGCAGCCATTAAACCAGTGTAATTCTCCAAATGTCTAATGACCACTGTGTTAAGACTAGAACGTGGGAGGCAGAGAGCTTCCAGTGCTTTTGACTGAGCAGGATGGAAACAAGTCCAGGAGCCTCTGAGGCCCCATGCTTGTCTCTGGTGCCTCAGTAAACTATGTCCTCACTCCTACGGATTAAATGAACAGCGGGTCTCACGTTCCCCTACTGTGTACGTTCTAAGGAAGAGCATCGTTGGAACGCTCCGAGCGCCAGAGCGGAGCCCCAGACCCTGCCATCTGTTTCCGACATCTGTTACTATTATTTCACCCACAAAACAATAACAGTTAACCTTATTTTCTCAACAGCTAAAGAATTTATTAAGAATAAAACAAATGGCATAGTTTTGGGGTTTTTGTACTCCCTCAACTTTAAGTGAGGAGATTAAATTTAAAAACTCTGTATCCTGTTCATATCATAAAGTTAATTCACCTAAAAGAATTTTAAATCATGACTGAAATGAGATAAGAATACTTGATAAATATCAAACATTTCCTGGAAATGTTTATCTGCAACTTATCTAAAGAGAAAATATTATTCCAATATAGACATATGTAACAAGTTTCTAGATATTTGCTAGTTAAAACATTTTCCTACTCTTGTATGATTTCACTGATGAGTATGTAACTACTCTTCTCTCCAATATTTATTTAAATTACTTGAAAAGTTTAAAGCAATTCACAGTAAATTTTCATTGATTTAGGTTGGCTAATCAGTCTCTACATTTAGATTTTCCCTTAAATTCAGGGGGAAAGCTTTGATTCATGCACACATTATGGCTTCCTTCCACTGGTAAACATTTGCTGCAACAACCTTGAAGAACTCACCTTCATAAAAATAAATACACTCTAAATAGTAGTTCTTACCACCACTGCATTAGAGTCCTCCCCTCAGTGTAGAATTGAGTGAGTTGACAGGGTTCCAGGCTTGACTGCCGTCTCTGCGTTTTGTTCTGCCTCCGAGTCCTCAGTGCCTGGGTCTGGAACAGTCAGTAATGGTACAGTTCCCCTCTTCACTGTGTTCACAGTCTGGGGCTTTTCTTTGGCAAATTTCTGTCTTTTAAGTCCTGTCAGTATTCTCTACAAATTCATAAAGTATCTCACATTTTCCACCTAGATTTTTTCATGGGGATTTGAGAAACAGGAGCAGTGTGGATTTAAGTACAATACTTTTTTTTTCTATTTTTTCCTTTCATATAACCCCGTTAGACGCCTTCCGCCCTCTCACAGATATTTATCAGAAAGCATTGCTGTTAATAAATTTTCTATGGCAGAGCAATCCAGAAACTGGAAGGGACTTCCACCAGGTACTAGCATCCAACTGTCCTGCCTCTAACTGTAGCTCAAACAAAAGGATTCTGGTTTCACAGCTCTTTTGTTACTTTGTATAATCACTTCTGCTGGAAAACAGTGAATCAGTTCTTAATTAAAAGCTGTGTTTTTCATTTTCAGGGACCCCACGGACTTCCTGGACCAAAGGTAATCTAACAAATCCCTTGGTTGTTGGATTTCTGTTTCCCTGTTAATCATGGAGCAGCATGACGGAAGCATGTCTGTCCTGTCTTACTTACTTGTCAAGAATGTTGATGATCTTTAAGCCTTTAAGTATCCAGATGTTTAGCTCTCACAACACAGAATGACTTAGAAAAAATTTAAGTGATATCACCTGGAGATGAATTATTCCTCATTTTGCCTTTTTTTCCTTGTCACTGCGTGAATTTCTTAAATCACTAATCATAATATACTCAAAACTCACCATTGAGAAGTAAATCTGATGAGATTCTCAGACCAGGCTGGATGCTTCCTTATGATAGTGTGTTTAGTTGTACATTTAGATGTTATTGATACTTCTTGCTTGTCCTCAATGAAGTGCTTTGACTGTCCAGCACCCTAATTTTGTATCCTCCTGGAGGTCACCGACCTAGAATGGAGCAAGGAGGATCAGGTGCGCTCTACTGAGGAGACTGCATCTCATACTTTGAGACATACACATACACTCTGGATTAACAAGAGAGCAATGGAGACTAGCCCCACCTCTTCAGCATTAGAGCAGCTTGTGTTGTGAAGATGGTCTCACCTACTCTCTGCCTTCATGTGAACCAAGAGGAAGTCTTGGAGAATTACAGTGAGCCCTAAAAGAGAGTCCCTTTTTTCCATGGAACATGTGTGATGATATCTCATCTCAGTTTTGTCCCTGACGGGCTGTGTCACCTTGGGTGGGTTATTTATCCTGTCTGATCCTTTTTTTCTCAACTAGGTAACTTACCACATAGGGTTGTGATAGTTTAGTAGCAAAATATCTGGTGCAGTTGTTGATAAGCACCCAATGAACGTCAGTTGTTTTGTTTTCTTGTGATTTGTTGCTTTGTTCTGAACAGAAAAAAATCACTAGTCCACAAGGCTGTTTGAGAGAAGGTTCGAGTACTCTTGAAAGCTCCTCAGTAGTGAGTTGGTACATGTAAATGGTGAAGGGTGAGAGAGCACATACAGTCAGTCTTGGTCCTAGACATCAGAAGGGCAACCCACCCTCTCCTCTGAAGGCTCCCCCGGGCTCACGCAGCTCTAGAGATGGCGGAGCTATGGGTCTGACTCCAGAGCTCCGAGTTTTCCCTTGGTCAGACAGGTGACTCACCCAAGTGTGGGAGGCGTCCATGCCTCTTTATTCTTTGTAGATTACCGTACGTGCTGGTAAGACCCATGAGTAACAGTGCCTCAGAATCACGGGTTATAGTTTGGGGTAAGAGCATTTTCCTGGGGGTCGGAAAAGAGAGCCCATCTATCTGTCGGCTTTGTGGTCTTAGCAGTCATCTAACCTCTCTGGGCCTCTTTTCCCACTCTTGGCTTCTCCTCGGATGTTAAGACACCCCAAAGAGCGGCCCAATCATAAAAACTCAGGTTGGAGCCATTAAGACTGTGTTTTTAATTCCGTGAGCGATTCAGTATCCCATTACCCTTAAATTAATAAATGCCCAAGATTCTTTTGATATGTAAAATGCAATGATTTTTTTTGCCTACACTTAACTTTAATTGTACTTAAATCATAGACTTCAGAGAATTTTTACAAAGTTTCAAAGACCTCATAGACTACCTATGCTGATTCTTTAATTGTATAGATGATGAACTATAGGCCCAGCAAATTTAGGTTATTTACCCTAAATTACACTGCTGATTAAATGACAGATCCGGGACTGAAATTTAGGTCCCACATTGAAATTTTGTCTTTTTGCCACTGAATTAGATTGTTTATACATTCAGCTTCTCAATTCATGACCATTCCTATCAATGCATGATTCCTCACCAAAGAATTTCACAGCCTTCCAAGGCTTTCCTGCTTTTCGGTCATCTCAAGACCACTTGCTGGGAGACCACACACACACAAAAGCCATGCATCTCAGGTTCAGACCAGGTAACTGAAGTTGACTATTGAGCCTTGGCCTTAACCTCACATTAACTCTAGCTCTGTGACATCCCCAGGATCAAGCTTCACCCACCAGAGCACTTTTGGATTTCTCACAGTGGCAGCACTGTGACCATCCTATCTTTAGAATCTAAAATTCCACTAGGTTGTGCCCACATGGGCCCATTACTTTGCGACCCCTCTAGAAGTTCAAATGTATACCATGGTTCTAAGGGCGAGCTATTTCCCAGAATTTCCTGACCAGAAGAATCACCAGGAAGCTTATTAAAAATACATATTTCCTGTGCTACCAAGGTCCAGGTAGGGCCCCAGACTCCAGCACCCCACAGACTCCATCATCAGACAGACAGGGAAATACCAGCCTCCCGCCAGGTAGACCCAGTCTCTCCCCACTCCCACCCCACCCAGAAAGACTCTACAGGGCTTTGAGACTGCAGTCATCTTTCTTTCAAGTCTCTCAACATTTTCTTGATGAATTTAATGTCTGTGCTTAAAAGTTGAAATGTGAAGCAGTCAGAACTCTATTTCTCACATGCTGCTGCTGATGGAAAATAGATGCACTGTATTCTTAGATTTTTTTCTATAAAAGGAAAGAATTGACAAAATTTATCACTTCCCCTGGCTTTTGTCCTGTCGCCCCAAGCTAAATGGAAACCTTCTTTATTCTAACATTGGGCAGACGAAATTACTACATGTAAGTTCTGTGATCTTCCTATTCTCTTCTGGGATTGGCTATTTGCTGTCTCCTCTATTGATTAATCCGTGTAGGGACCTAACTTGGCAATGTCAGTGAATGAGGACTCGCTTAATGGCATTACTTCAAACATCAGCTGCTATATTTTTAGCTCATTCCCCTGGGCAAAATGCTTAAAGGCTTAAAATGTCTGTTTGTAACACTGTCCTGCATATTCCAGTTTTCCATTGCAGCAGAGTAGGTTTTTTATTGCTGAATCTCCTTCGGCATCCTCCCTTCTGATTGTCTTTGATTCGCTGGGTCAGAACAGTCTGTCATAACACCCATTTCCTTGATACACAACTGAAAAATCGAGGCCCTCAGTTATACGCAGATATATTTTGATGGTAAAGGGAACACTTTCTGGGCAGTTTGGTTTCCTAGAATATTATTTGTCAATTTCAGCTTGTTAACTTTTTAGTGTTTTAAAAATTAATACTGAACTGATACCAGACAAATCTAGCCTGACTCCGCTGTTTCCTAAAACTGGAATCTGCAACCATTTCAGAGACTGGCTCTTTTCTCTCACAGTTGAAACACCCGTGACAGCAACCAAAATTGGCATTTGCTTTTGCATTTAGGGCGAACCAGGGTTAAATGGTGTTAAAGGATTGAAGGGTGAACCAGGTCAAAAGGGTGACAGAGGACCCCTTGGTCTTCCAGTAAGTAAAGACGATTTTCCATTTCAGTGCACATCTCAGACTTTCCTTCCTACCTTAAGTAACAACTCTGGTTTACTCAGCGACTGCCTTATAGTTGAGATTTCTGTAACTGGAAAACGCCTTGTGCTAGTGCAGAGCTCAGCCCAGGTTTGCCTTCTGACACCTGCTCCCTGTCAGAGGAAGACCCATAGCACACAACGCCGTAAGTGTTCCGCCCTCCAGTTGCACACACGCCGACCTTCCTCTGGGAAAGCTGGCAATTCTTCTCGCATCAGTCTCCTCTTTAAAAATGCATTGTGCTGATAATTTCTCCAAACATTTTCATAATTTAGTGCATTTTAAATTATTCTTCAATTTTTTTGCTCCTTCAACACCCAAAGTGTAGTCCTTTGTTGGTGGCAGGTATGCAATCGGCCCTTGTCGATGGCCTGAGGTCGGCGCTGTGGCTCCTCACGTGAATCAGTCACGCTGTGGTCTAAATGTTGTGTGTTGTTTGTTTTGGAAACACTCTCCTATGAGATTATTGTGGCACTAGTGGGGAGGGCAGAACAGTGCCGGTCTTCTTTCCACAACGACTAAAAACAGATTTAAAAAAAAAATGTTTATCGAATATGAGGTTTTCTTTTTGAGCTTCTACTACGATGTCTATTCAGTAAATGCTGGTAAAAGTCAATAAAAAAATTATAGGTTACATTATTAAAATATGACATAAAATTGGTAACAGGAAACAGTTTATACACATTTTACACATAAAAAAATTGATGGCCGCTTATTTTATTAAGATACTGTATCATAAGAACTAAGGCATTCTACTTAATAACCAGCGCCTTATATAAACCAGGCATGCGGAGATGCTCGATATATATTCATTTATGGAGTGAGTGATATAAGCCTTGTGTTAGAGCATAGGTTCAATCATACCAGTTAGATTCATGGACATCAGGCATCAAAGCTCTATAACATATGTAAATCATTAAACAACATTGCAGGTAAATGTATTATCGGTGCAAAAATGTTACATGTCCCTATTGATTTTTACATGTTGTAATAGTGATGACTCTAAACAAAAGGTACCAAAAGGCAAAAGAAAATTTAGATTTCTATTTCATTTTAACCCTTAATCTGATTTTTTAGAAGTTTGCCCTAATTTCAAATTTAGGGCTAGTAATAAGTTTCATACAACATTTAGTAGAACTCTACAGGTGCTAGCATTAAACAAACAGCAACACACTGTTAAAAATTTTTAATCATTGCTAACTAAAGATGTATTTTGCAGTTATAGTCTGACTCAGTTATGAAGAAGGAATTATAAAATGGAATAGAAAATTACTCAAAATATATATGGTGCAGCATCATTGGTAGAGTTTACAGTTAGAATAGATGTTTTCCCTTCATTTTGTCTTATTGAGTACATCTCAAGCACGAAATGGGAAAATAGTTCCGCAACCTTGCCAAGAGAATTATACGGCGAGTGCATTATCTTTCCTAAATACTCCTTGATTATTAGATAATCGATATTTTTAAATGACTATAAGTAAATATTTGAGTTTTGATATATAAAAGCCATGTCACAGAAGTAATTGTGTTTATTCTTGAAATAAGCATTGACAATGTCATCTTTCAGTCATGCGCTGGGCTCAGTCTCGAGCCCGGGGTGCAGAGAAGCACGCACTACCTGGGCACAGCATTGGTTTTTAAAGCGCTTCCCTTTCACACTTTGATGCAACGTTTCTTTGAAGTGAACTGAGGAACAGTTTCGTTTGAGGTGACTCATGGACTATTTCTGGCTTTTTCCTGTTCCTAGAAGTCCCTCTAGTGGTGGCTACTGTGAACACAGTTAGGGACAAACCAGAAAACTTTGACCATTGTTCATGTAAAATCCAGACTCATTTGGCAGGTTCAAGCTCTGCATTTGTTATTCATAAATGCTATTTTAACAAGCAAGACTAGAGCTCTTTTTTCCTCCTCCAAGATGATAACTTTGATTGATTATTATAATGATCCCTTTCTTAGGAGATTAGACATTATTTTTCCTTCAGAACTTAAAGAAAAATATTGTGGATAGTACAGTCTTTGGAAAATGAATTTCATATGGATGTCAGTAGCCTGTGACAGTTACTGGTTGCCTACTTTACAGTCCACTCCATAAATCTCATTAACTTGATTTCTAAATAAGATTTTGTTAAATGGAATTGTCATTAAAATGCCATCGTCTGTGGGGGTGTTTATTGTCCTGTGTTTTGTTTTGTTTTTTTTTTTAACTAACAATTTGTAGCAATGTGGTATTCATCCCAGAGCCCTGTGACTGGGTATTATGTTGTTTGAAGTTTTACACTTGTTCATTGGTACCTCATACTAATCTCTGTTCTTGTCATTCGTGTTACACCCACCAACCCTGCTACCAACCAAATCACACAGGGAGCATCTGGCTTAGACGGAAAGCCAGGAGCCCGGGTGAGTCAGTGCCTCGTCTTGCTCCAGCGCGTTTGTGGCTATGAATTCTGTGCTTCAGGACAGACCCTTTTCGCTCCTGTGCTCTCATTGAAAGATGAGGGTGCAGGGTGCCTAGGACTGGGGTGAAACGTGAAGGTGGACAGGGATAGAGGCAGAAAAGGGAAAGGTGAGCAGGGCCCCAGCTGTAGCTCTATTAGACACACAGCCTTGCCTACAGAGCACGGAATTCGGGTTTGGACTGCTTGCTAGGTGCGAATGTCCACTCTAACTGGCATCGCTGTCTTGGATCCTGACAGGTTTTTTCATAACTGATGGACATTTCCTGTAATTCCATGAGAGAGGGCCTCTGAAGGGATTAAAATCATGTGAATTTATTTTAACTTCCTTTTCCTTTTATGTTTATGTTTATATTAGAAATGTAGCTTCTTCATTGGAACTAACTTTCAAATCTCTGTTCATCAAAATGACTCGTCTGTCTTCTGTCATTTTGTCTTTTTTTTTTTGGCTCTTAACAGCTCCATCTCTTAAATTTCAGCCTCTGATACTCAGTAATCACAAGTCTTCTGGAAGTGAACGCTGAGTTCAGAGAGTAAAAGATCAGTTTAAGATGATGAGAATTCACCTACATTAGAGTGAATGTAAAGCCCTGAATTATTCCATACCACAAGGCTCTATCAGAATAAACAAGAACAGAAGAGAAATAAAGAACACTACAAAAACTTGTTCTGAATAGTTTCCTTTGCAAATTCTGTAATAAATTCTTTGCAAGTCTAAGGATAGTCTTCCAGAAAATGAGCAAATATATTGAAGTCCTTGCTCCAGTTTTAAGAATCAAAAAAGAAACTTGAGCTCTTCAATTCTAAAACCCTTCTTCAGGCTTTCACCTTCAGGCAGTCATTGTTTTTCCTGGACCTCAGTGTTCCTGTGTTCACTCAGATGTCATCTCATCTGCCACAGAAATCCTAATCCTAAAGCAGGAGGCCAGAAGGCAATTATGCCGTTAAAGCATCAGCTGCCTGGTTTATGCCTCGTAAGCCTGGTGACTTCAGCCACCACAACAGAACCTGCGAGAATAATTCCTCCCCTCTAAGCCCCCCGCTGCTCCCAACAGAGCTGAAGAAAGTTTGGTTTGAATACAGTTCTCATTCATTTAATTCTTTTCCACTTGTGTAACTGTTCAAGCCTCTTAAACAGCTGAATACAAGGCTTCAGAGCATCAGTGGCCAAAGAAGTGGGGGTGATGTTGGGGTGGAGAATGAGTGCCAAGTAGAGGTGATAGGAAGGAAAAACTATTGCTTTTTTAAAAAAGATTATGGGGGCAAAGTGAAGAGGTTCTGTTTAGTTGGGGAGGGAATATATAATTAAGCATGATATACAGCTTTGTGTGTGTGCCCTTCATTGAAATATACAGTTCTATAATTCATCCCTTCTGCATGAGTTTCTTGAAAACTACTGGCCAGAAAGGCTCGAGTATAAAGCACTTTGCAAGATGAGTTGTCTTACTGACATTCTCAGGCGTCATTCACCCAGGAAAGGTCCAGGATAAATTACAGCTGCCTTTCTGATAGCCCTTGGGATATGTCTCATATGATCTTGTTTTTATCTTTCCTTTAGGGTACAGATGGCCCTATGGGACCCCATGGCCCTGCAGGTCCCAAAGGAGAAAGAGTAAGTTGCCCCTGAGGTTTCTAAGCTGTGACCTAGATAGAGCATTGTCTTCATTTTACTTGACCTGAACTGTTCATTTCCCAAGAGAAACAAAGAGCTATCTAATATTCCATGAAAATAGATATCATCTTAAGTTCTATTCAGAGCCATCACACTGAGAGAACAGCAGCGTATTAACGTGGAATGTGGCGGCCTTATAGAAAACAATGCATACATTTACATAGCTTAATAAATAGCTCAGACCATTTCTTCTGAACCCATAAGGAAGATATTTTTATTTGGCCTTAATCCAGTAGATAGAAGTCAAAGGGGCTAAAATTTCCAGGACTGCATATTCTGGTTGATAATCTTTCATATAAAGCTACCGTATTCATTGAGAGTAAGTCATAACTTTTCTTAAAGAAAATGACAAAACCTAAGTATTCTCCTCCACGCAGTTACACATGTTCCTGTTTACAAAAAGAAGAAGAGGAGGAAGGAGAAAGAAAGAATAGCCTATTTTTCTGTAGCCATACGGAAATAATTTCAGTGCATTATAAAACAAAAACCTTTCACTAACCTCTCTATTGCTAGGCCATGTTTCCATATCCTTGGGAGAAAAGACAGAGCAGAAGATAAATATCTGACACAGAAAAATGTGCTGCCGCCTCAGCAGCTGGTTGTCTGTCTGGAACCTCGCTCCCTCTTCCTCCCACTTCTTTTCCTCACATTGGAAGACTGGGCTGTACCTGTGTGTCTGGGTGAAACTGCATCGCCAGTTTCCTCACCATCCGGGATGGGGTGTAAGGAAAGGATCCTAGGAGTGAAGGCTTCAAAATGTTGAAATAATTCATTGTTCAAGTTTCTGGTCTTTCAAAGCTAGGTGGAGTTTCATCAATCTGTACTAATTTGCTTTAAAATAGAGGGCTCACCTAGCAATTTCTTTGGCATACCCCCCAATTCCATGTTCTGTAAATTGAATTCACTCATTTGGTAAATATTTATCACATGTCATGATGTATACAACTTCTAGTGGGAAAGAGAAACACTCTCCTCCCTTTTATGTAAAGTCTATTTTGCTCCAGTGAATTAAATAACATTACAATCAATTCCTCATCTATAATCTTTTACTAATATACTGCATATATTTATTCAGTGCTATAAAGGAAACAGCTCTTTGCCCTGATCTGGAAGAGTTTACAACCTAATTGCACAGGGAAAAAAATCTGCAAAAACCCCCAGCAAAAAACCCAAAACAGATAATGAGGCCAAAGTGAATACAAATAGGTACAGGCAGTATATACAGCAATGAGGAAGGCTGGCTTGGTCTGAGTGCTTCTAGAAGGAGGTGAGTCTCAAGGGAATGTATAATCTGATCTTTATTTGATCTTATTTCTAAGATCAAGTCAATGACTTATGAAGATCATCGTAATTAAAAATATTTGAAAGCCAAGAGTCCCTAGTGCTGAACCATTTAAGCATTGTATCAAGAAATTCAGTACATTTACTAAAAATGGAGCAGCAAATCTCAAGTAATCTTTTGGCAGGATGCCCTGGGGCTCAAGAGGGTTTGCCATTTGGTAAATCAGCTGCTACTTCCGATAGCTCCACAGTGTCACAAGAGTATCAGGTCTCGGCCCTCGGGCAGAATTAACCAGGAGAGCAAGTGAAATCTCTAAGAATTTTGGATGGCATAGTTTAAGTCAGATGGTGTGCAGTGTGAAGTGTTCCACTTGTGTTTACTCAGCATGTGAACGATCTTCGCTGGATCACGCATCAGTGCTCTCTAAGTGCCCCTCACCCAAGGTGCTGAACTGGAGTGTGGTTCTCAGTGGTTGTTGATTGAGGCGCCACCTGGACTTTTCTTGAAAAGTTTCCAATGTTAAATTGGGAGGAACCAGGAAACGGGGTCATTCTAGAACAATTCCTTAGTGTAGACATGCACATTAAAGAGCCTGAATAAATTGGACCAGCTAAAGGAAACCAGGCACTTGATAGGCCATTTTATCCAGAAATGGTCCAACCCATGATGGACACCGTTAGTGTTCAGCTCTTTAAGCACCTGCTGGTACCTGCCTCCAGTCCGTTTCCTCATCTGGCCTTGTAACTGCCCAGGAACTGTGTAGAGGACGTTAAATTTGAGAGGTTCAAAGGGTTTTAGAATTATTTAATCCAGGAAAAGAAGTTGCACATTCCAATCCCCGTGTCGATATTTCACTCCTGAAAGTTTTCGAGCTGGGACCATTAGGATGCTTTTAGCTCTAAGTGACAGAACTTCAACTCAGATGCCTTAAACAATAAAGATATTTATTGTTTCGTGTAACAAAATGTTCAAAGGAGGGACTCTCAGCTTTGCTTCTGTGCTCTTTCCACATGCTGCCTTTGTCTTCTGACAGCTGGCACGTTGGTGACAGTGGCTCTAAACCCCGCTCCTTCCTGGAGGGCAGCGCAGAGAGCACCCGGAGCCCTCCTCCCCCTTGAGCAAGGAGCCCTCCCCATGGCTCCTCAGCCGAGGCCTCCCACACCTTGTATCCGCTTCTGAAGTCCCCACTGGCGAGGGAAATGGGATGGACATTGTTAGCTTAAAGTCATTGTTCGGGGTGGGCATTTCTATCAGAGAAGTTCCAAAGACAAAGGTTTTAGTGACAACTTAATTCAAATAAGCCATGGTATGTTCAGTTTTAAAGCAAAATAAAGCCACTGTAGTCAATCAAAGCAGGGAATAGGTACATAAATGTAATCTGTGGAGATTTTTTCAATTAAATCTACTCTAATCTGCTGAGTTTTTTAAAGTAGATCTCCTCCAGGTTATAAGAGCCCTCCTTCAAACCCCCACCTCCCACTACTCCCACACACATCTTTAATTAAAGACCATAAAGAATACTGCCAGTTCAAGGCAAAATAAATTTATTTTGAATTAAGTGATCTTTGAGTTGCCACGCCCTTTTAAATTAAACTTAAGACCTCTAATTGTATAATAATAATGATAGCTACTATGTATGGGACATATTATTTGGCAACAATAAATTTCATATTTTATCATTACATTTGTCTCTAGAAAAATTCTTTTTACAGCCATTGAAATTCAGGCACACAAAAGTTAAGAAAGTTACCTTAGGCCGTATGGCCAGTGATGGCAGAACTGGAGTTCAAATTTCAACGTTGTCTCCAAAGCCTGGACTTTCCTGAAGGCAATTGCTGTTCCTTCAGTAATGAACATAAAGTTCAAAACCACTTATCATGTTTACTTGCAGTAATCTCCCTATTCTTTATATGCTTTTAGGTGGCAGTGCCAACATGATCCACCAATCCCTAAAGTTAGATTTTTAAAAAATAGTAGCAGAGACTTGAAGTGTGGTCCAAAGGAACCCAGAGCACAGAGAAGCACAGCAGCATACTTGGATCTTCACGCAGTTATAAGCTTGGCATTTTACCCATGAAAAAAAATTGCTAACCTTTAAACTTCTTCAGGAATGTGATAAAAGAAGGTAGCAACATTTTCTGTTTGGCTGCTCATGTAAACAGCATATAGCTCCTGAAGTGGTCATGCTAAATCCTGACAAAGACATGAATGTTAGAGATGGTGGCGGAGGAGGACTCTCCTTGAAATGCAGAACACCTCTTTCTCTGTCATCACAGTTATATTTCACAATCATGGGACCTCCAATTGCATTTATTCTCCAGAAGCATTCAAGATTGACATTTAAGCCAAGGCATGCTAGTCTACTTATATAGGCACGTGGAGAGAGAGCCATGAAGGTTACCAGGCACTTAGTAGATGATAATAACAGTTTTTAAACCCTCTTTTTTTTTTAAGAAAAGGAGATGAACAGGTACATGGTTATATTAATGTGATTTGACTTATTAATTAACAGATATTTACTGATGTTCCAGACACTACTGTAGGCCATGGGCGTGCCACAGGGAACAAGCCAGAGGCCCTGGCACCCGAGTGTGAATATCCCAGTGATGAGCTCGGTGAAGAATACTCAGGTTATAACCTGCGTATGTCTCCCTGCGTGTGCCGTGTGAGCTCCGGAAGGCCTCACCGAGGAAGAGACATTTAACAGAAAGAAAAAAAAAGACATTTTATTCATATAGTTTTAAAAAGGTAGTAACTGAAAGTAATTAACAACACATAAATGTTTCACACTAGTGCCAAAATAACCCAAGTATAGCATCCTAGACATGCTGGTCCTTTTGCACAACCAGCCCCTCTCTCCAAGGTGACTTAGCGAAACAGTCTAACGTAGATGACTTTTACTGTATCATTGGCAGCGACGTTGAAAGAGCCTGAATCTTCAGCATTTTGATAGACTGACACTTCAAATGGAGGCTTTATACATAGGCCTTTAGGGTGCATGTGTGAATAATGGTGTTTGGGTATGATTTGAACTTTCTGCCTTTCATTTTAGGGTGAAAAAGGAGCTGTGGGGGAGCCAGGACCCAGAGGACCCTATGGTCTGCCTGTGAGTTCTCTGTCTCTGTGCGCCTCCCCCTTCACTGCACAATCACCTGTCACTGGCATGGTTAACCCTCCCCTCACGGGGCCAATTAATCACCTTACAGGGCCAGCGAGCAGCCCACTAATTCTCTACAACCCTGATGTCACCATGTCCCCCAGAAAGGGGTATATTTGTGTCACATTCTCCCACTTGCGTGCAGACGCGCACCCCTGCCCTTCACAACACTGAGAAGATCTGAGCTTGTCCATGAGATGCACAGTTCTGACCTAAAGGCAGGAGGCTCACTGTCTGATGACGCCATCCCTGGGCCGCCTGACTGCTCAGCCCTAACGGGAACTTCTTTTGGGAGGTCACTCTACCAAAAGTGGCTGTAGAAGCTTTATTTAAATAAACAACTTTCTGCAGACTTGGCCTGTTCTCATAGATTACCCACTGACACTGCTTTTACAAAGAAAAGTTAATTCTCAAATTGATGTTTATGATGACTTTGATGGCTCCGGTCCCTTTAAGTCACTGTGATGGCAATGGACCTTCAGAACATGGAATGTGGAGAGTGTTCCGTCTTCTAAATATTCTCAATTACACAGACTTCTAATTGAGGCCTCAGGTCTGCTTCAGGACATTATCTTTCGGATACTCATAACTGATTCCATGGGGTAGAGAAGGACTACAGTAGAAGCGTATGGGGTATTAAGGTTTATGCTGTGTACCTTCCACATACCTTGTACTTTCGGTTTTTGTGAAGTAACAGACTAAACCATGATTACTTCAATGCTAAAAGAGAGGCTGATTTTAAAATACATTTCAAGTGAAGGCTCATTCTGAAATAGATTTCAGCTGACAGAATTAAAGCACCCTCTCGGTAACCAGGTGAACCGTTGCTGACGGGGTCGCCACCCAGCCAGCCGCGCCCTGAGAGTGCAGGTGCAGTCCCAGCACGACGATCACGTGACTCCTCTCACGGCTTGGGATCCTGCGTTTGCAGAGCTCACTTATATGTACAACCCATGGATATGAAATAAAAGGCAGGGGAGGTGCAGGGCATAGTGGGGATAAAGGAGAAAAAATTGGGAAAACTGTAATAGCATAATCAATAAAATATACTTAAAAAAAAAAAACAGAGTTTGAGGTGTGACCCTCACACCCCCAGTATTTGCGGACAAGGTGCACATCTAGGAGAATTCAAACTGTATTTAACAACCACGTTGCTACCTTTTTAACTCATTTACAAACTAACTACTCAGTTATCAAATTAAAGCAGCAATAACTTGCATACTTTATTAGCGCTGGTGTGTTTTTAAATCAACTAAACTATTTTCACCTTTCTCCTGGATTGATAACTTTGATACCAAGCATTCAACTTCAGCAAAATAAAAACTATTTAACCTGAAATAGAAGAAAAACTTTTCATGACTTTTAACAGCAACATTAACAGTCTCTTCACTGGATTTAGTGAAAGAAATGTATATTACTAATCAACAAAGAATCTTTTTCACCTTTTTGAACTAGCTCTAATACTAGTGTTGCATGTCCAGGCAGCCTTAAATAGAACAATAACCTGTCCGTGAAACCTAGGAACACTAATGTAGCTACTGTGGTTCTTTGGCAGGGGAAAGATGGAGAGCCTGGTCTTGATGTAAGTAATATGTGCAATGAACATCTTCCTATAATAGTAGATGCTGATGGTCTCCATCATCAATAACAGCGAGAATACTTCTTACTGTTTCTGTGGACATAGTTACGCATACAATATCTATTGCTGTGCATATAGACAGCAACATAAAATACACCAGAAGTATTTGCATAAATTAAACATAAAAGGAAAAAAAAGATCTAATATAAAATTAATAACAGGCAGTTGATACTGCCACTTAAAAATACTTTCCCAAACCAGGGACACTCTCAACATTTGCAGGTAAACCACTTATTTTAAAATATGCATAAAATTGAAGTACCTTTCACACACCACCCTTAGGTAATGGCGTATTATATCTATTGTCAAAGCTCTAATGCGATATTTTTTCCTTTAGCATAAAGCCCATCTATATCTTATAATTCTATAAATATAGAGAATCTCAAAAGTAAATGCCTCTGGAAATGAGCACTGCTTTCCCGTATGGTGTGAATAATAACAATAGCAAAAATAATACTAGTTACTGTTTACTGAGCACCTGGTATGCGCAGACATAGTTCTGGCACTTTATACTGTTGCATTTAATAGTCACAGTTGTGTAGTAGATATCAGGGACCCCATTTTACAGACAAGGCACTAACACGCTGAGGTAAGTGATTTGCATAAGGCCACACAGAGCAGTAAACTTGTCAGGATCCAAACTTGGACCCTGATATTCCCTCCACTGGACATTTCCTGGGAAGAATGCTGTTGTATGTAGATAATTGACATGTTAGTAAACTATTATTTCTAAGTTCTACTTTACCTACATTTTGAGATTGTTGGGCTTGCCATTTTTCTTTATATCTTTGTTGAGAAACGTGAGATTTTACATTTATTTTTTTGAATTTGGTCTTGCCACAGTTACATCAGCAAGTATCCTTGGTTTGCTTTTTATCCTACAGGGCTTCCCTGGTCCACGCGGCGAGAAGGGTGACCTAGGAGAAAAGGGAGAAAAGGTGACCCCTCCATCCCAGCATGTGCCTGCTTGGTTTTTCTCATGCTGTCTGCTTTGCTGTTCAACCTGTGTGATCCTTTCCTACATTAAATCTCTCTCCATCCTGTGCTCCAGAAACAGGCCGATGCTTGATCTAAGGCATCAGGTCTTCACAGTGGAATGAAGAAGGCTATACCACTGAACATAAGAGCACTAGTATAGAAGAAAAAACATTATAATCCCCAGAGAGCCAGGCTACAATTTTTCAACTATCTGACACCAATGTGTTGAAAGATGTAATGTTCAGGGATTCTTGAAAATGAAAAAAAAAGCATTTATTACGCATTAATAGGAACCGAAATAGCACAAATCTGTAGTGGTTTTCTGGCAGAGTTCACCTAATGTGGTAAAAACCCACACTTCAATTATCCTTACAATGTTCCCATGAAGAAACAGAAGTTAGGTTCTGTATCTGGATTTTTTTTTTGTTGGAAAATAGAAGCAGTGTGACTGATAAACCCCAATGAACCCAGTAGGCAGGGTCCAGGACTTGCTGCTGTTGCTGCTGCAGATGTTTCTAATGAAGATGCTGGTGTATTTTACGAGGTTGTGTTTTGGTTCTGTCTCAGGACCATCAGCTCCAGGGTATGGTAGGAGCCAAAATCAAACAAAATGGTTTCATATTTGAAAGTAAAAGTTAGATCATGGGTTTTCAAAATCACTTTTTTCTTTCCCATATTGTGTGAATAATAACAATAGCAAAAATAATACTAGTTACTGTTTATTGATCTTTGCTTAGATCCCCTTTGCTTAGATCTTTGCTTAGATCTTTGAAGAGTAATTTTTTTTTACACCAGACACAGCAAAAGAAGCAAACAAAAGCTGGGCACCTCAATAGAATAGTGAAAATCATAAAATGGCTGAAATTATACTTTCACAGTTCAAATTTAAACCAATTCTATTTCCCCGATTCAATCATGTCCTGATCTGCGAAACAACACACTATTTTCTTCAACCGTGAAGTTTTCAAAACTTCATTGTTAATTTCCATTAACCACGAAGTTCACAGCTGTTGAAAACCAAGGTTGAGTGAGAATCGTCAAAGAAGGGGCGGTCTGAAGGCCGCCCTGTGAGCCACAGCCTGAAAGGTCACTTACCTTCCGCCGGTCAGTGAGCTCCTGTGCGCGCTCCTGTAACAGCACCTCCACCACCGTCGTCATCGATATCATCGCATTTATTGAGTACTCAGTGTTTTTCCAAAAGCTTGACACAGGTTAAGTTTTTTAAATTCTGATAACAACCTGAGGTTGGTGCTGTTTTGTGCCCATTTCACAAACAAGGAAACTGAGGCAAAAAATAGAATTTTTTTTGTTCTTCATAATAAATTCTAACTATAAAATATAAATGTTTAGAGAGAAATCATGTATTTTAGCTCAAGGCAATTGTGCTGTAAAGATTACAGATTTTATATTTACCTAATGGGGTTGTGCGAGTCTAAAACCTTACCCCAAAACATGTCACTATTATGAGAATATTCATTTCTAATGCTCTTTGAAACAAAGAAGAAATTACCAGGATCGTAACTTACAAAAACATGAAGCTGCAAATTTCACTCTCAGAAAAATGTTAATCACCCATATGAAACATTTCCACATGTCAGATTTCATATGTAGGAGTTTTGTGTTTAGGAAAATGACATTCGAGATGTGAACACTCCATGTCTGTGCATCCCTCTTCGACATGGGAGATAGCTATAGAGGAGCCCTCACGCACTCACCCCCACAAGGACAGATGGTTTTGTGTTACGTAGAGCATCTCTAGCTGTTACACAACTATGCTGATTAGCAATAACACTGATGTATTATCCTTTGCATATAATACTGTCTGTTTCCCATGAAGTTTACCAAATTATATTACTGAAAAATTATTCCTATAGCCGGTTCACTCAACATTCGTATGACAGTGCTCTTCTATCGAATTATTAATATGAGTTGGTTCACCAAACAATGAAGTGAATTCTAAATTGATAACACCTAACGCACCTGGTGTCAGTCACACCCACATGAAGAGCCCGCTTCATCCTGAGAGGAAAGAGCTCACACAAACAAGGTTAAATCAGTTTTATGTCATGGCCCTGAACTTACTTGCTGAGGAAGGATGTTTACACATTTTGCACGAGTGAGCAATTTCCTCCCGAACGTGCCTCCCATCTTCCCTCCCGTCGCACCTGCCGCCATTTCGCCCTGGCTTCTCAGGTCTTTGTCTTTAATCAGGATCAACAAAACCACACAGCATTTCTCCTTTGCCAGTATGAAAGGAGCCCAAGTGTTTCTGATTCTGAGCCTTCTGATGCAATCTTTTGGTACACAGGAGATAAATGAGGGGCTTTTGCTCACACAGTCAGAATGAATACACTAATTTGAATGCACATCTCATATATTTCTGTTACGTGTGTGTCTTTTCACTTTGACTATTCATGTTGTTTTGCTTCTGAAATTATTCAGCTTTATCGCAACTGCCATCCTGATTGCAAAATGACTATGCTGATTTAAATATGTATTGTATTTTGTATTCTGTACTCACCAACTTCTCGTCTATAAATATGCAGATATTTATGTTAATGTGAAACAGCTGAGGTGCATTCCTTCCTTCTCCTCCTTTTGCCTCCTTTCCTAAGTTCCTCCATCCCTCTGATCCACGCAGATTTCCACAACCTTTACCTTGATTCCTAATACTAATTTTCATGGCTACATTCCCACTATGTAATTATCCTGCCTACCTCATTTTTAGTGTTAGCTCAACTGAGTCCAAACTGCTCTTCCTCTCCTGAACAGATTTTTTTGTGGGGGGCATTTGTAAGTAATCTGGAAACCCATTTACCATGGCAAACACCTGGCATGAGATCAATAAGAGTGAATTAAAGAAGATCCCTGGGTTTATAAATAAGTCTGTTTCTCCAATTGATATTACTGAGAAGTATTAGCACTTTTAAAATTTATTTACCTGACCGACTAAGAAAAATACTTGTTCTTCATTTCCCTGAAAAAAATGTTAAAAGATATGAAAGCATATTTAAATACACTGAATAATTTTTAATGAGAGCTAAAAAAAATGGTCGCTATATTTCAAAAAGGTAGAAGCTGTTAATGTTCTTTTCCTCTGGCTCAGTGAAGCTTTCATCCATTGTAGGATTAGGACAAAAGCAAGTTGATAGGTATTGAAAATTGGGCAAGGTATCCACTATTCCTCTGAACTTCACCTGCCGCTGGCTGGCTGCAGTACAGTTGGCATCTGTCACACACCCGCCCTCTCCGGATCCACGGCAGGAACACCTCTCTCGAAAGGATGACGGCACTGGGTTCTCTGTCAGCTCTGGTGCTCCTTTCTGATAGGTCGACCTGTTAGGTCTCCTTCTATTATCTCACGAGTATTGTGAATACAATGCCACAGGTTGCTGCCCAGAATCCCCTGTCACTCTGTCATTTTTATCACATCATGCCTTTACCTAAACCGGTGGTAAATGCCCTTCCAGATTTTATTGGCTAAATCATGTTTTGAATCACCATTATTCCCTCCCCCAATAAAACCTGTCTTTTATTTAAACCCTTGTATCCACAGGGGGAAAAGGGAAAGAAAGGCAAAAAGGGGCCTAAAGGGGAGAAAGGAGAACAGGGTGCTCCTGGATTAGATGCACCTTGCCCGTTGGTATGTCTGACTCATGGAACTCTGTCTCCAGATGTCTCATGTGGAGGGATGAGGTGGGAGAGGAGCAAGCTGGAGGGACCTGCAACAGCAGGGGTTCTGGATGGGGTCATTTCCCAGGGATTTCAAAGTACCGGGAGTGTCCATCCAGGTCATCCTGGTATGGTCCACACCTTGTCTCTGGCCACCAGCTCTGCCTGGTTTCTTAACACTCAAGTATTGATCCAGTGCGAATGTCTATGATCTGAAGAGGAACCGACACGATTCCGTACCTCTCAAAAACAGGGTGCAGCTCCCAGACGAGCCCTCCTTGTTCGTGAAGCTCTGGCCAACCTCACCGCATGTTACCTTTCACTTCAGAGTTGCTCCTCTCCCAGCCTCTTCTTATTGTGTTTTATTTCTTTAGCAGAATTTGTATGTAAATGATTTCTTGTTAGTAACGTTATGAGTTAATCTTTACAAACAGGGATTCCGTGGCATTAAGGGGGAAAAAGGGGAGCCAGGCCAGCCTGGCCTGGATGGGCTGGATGCCCCTTGCCAATTGGTACAGTATTTCTCTTTCCTACCTCCCTGCATGCGGTTCCTTTGTTTATTACATATTCATCTTTATTGGTGTAAAGTGGTGCTTCTGGACCAAGCTTTACATGATAAACACACTACATGCATGTGCATGAACAGCTCCTTCAGCAACCCTGCCAAGTGAAGAGAGCAAGCATGCATTTCTATCAGCAACTGCAAATTAATCTCCTAACCTCGTTCTCACAACTGGCATGACCACCGTGTCTGCCTTCTGGGGATATTAATTTATTCAATAAATATTTAAAGGTTACATTAAAGTGTATGGAAAGCTTCTGTGTAAAGGCACAGCTAAACCATAACTTTGGGTGTTACTCCTGCGTTGAACTTTTTTTCTTTTCCTATAAAGGAAGTAAAGGCATTTTTGCCTCTTCCAATGAATTTTCTCTCAGGTTGAAAATAAGGCCGAGCCTACAGCATTAAGCTTCTGCAGTCAAGAGTTAGCCATTTCTAGGGGATGCTATTAAGAGACCGTGGGGAAGTAAGCCAAGCTTCTTTGAGCTTCTAAAGATGACCATAGTCTACAGCCCAAACCCTCTTCCTTATCATATAACCCTCTCAATTTAATGGTCTCTCCTTTTGAAACTTACTTTCCTAAAAACAGACAGAACTCCCTTATCTCCATTGGCATGAACTCAAAATCCTCCTTATACTAAAATCTAAAATTCTGCGGGTGATCCCTCTCCTTGTACCAATCTGGCATCATTGAATTTTTCCCAAGTGTTTATAAAGCTTTTTCAAAGTGGGCTTTTTTACATTTGTTAGACAGTATGTTAATATATTCTGAGGTATAACAGAAAACATTTTATGGTTGCGTTGATGGTTATACTTGGTCTGCATGTTCTTATATTATTTTTTAGTGCTAAGCATGATTCTACAAAGATAACTTTATGTATCTCATGTCCTATAAGAGATTATATTTATAGAAAAAAGTTATTTCAGTTCATAACTACAATTAGAAAATATCAATATGAAGTGCACAGTCTTTCATTTTGTTTGCTTGGTAATGATAATAAATAATATTTTATAATCATTTTGTGGGAAGAAAATATAAGCATGCCTCATCATATACCAACTCTTCCTCCTTTTTTTGTATCATTTGTATCTGAAGAGCATTTACGCTTTAAATAAAAAATAAATTCTGCAACATTTAGGAATTCTCTGTTTACTCAGAACTTGTTAACTGGCTTCTGAAAAATTTTAATAGAAAAATTGACTGGATAACATTTTACTGTAAAGATATAGATAGGCTGCCTATGTTCTCATTCAATTGATTAAATATATTCTACTACATCTTCCTTCAATATAGAAAATTGAAAAATAATGTGTGAAGAGCTATAAACTTCAGATAGAAATGGTTCATCATTGATTATTCATCATTATCATTCATTCAACCATAGACCATAGTGACCAGGAAGTGAAGTTATTTCAGTTTATTTAATAAAAATAAGTGTGAAACGTGTTTTAATAACTAAAAGAAATAATACAAATTTACTATCTAAAGACAGAACTAAGTAGCCCACCATGCTTTGTAAATTACTTTCTCAAAATTAGGCTTATTTTTTCTATTGGGTTTTCAAATTTTTTCTTTTGGTTTTTCTATTTTTCTTTTATGGGTTTTCAAAATGTGCACTCTCTCTAGAAAAACATGAATTTCTTCATTTTTACTCATGTTGGGTATTGGAAGATGTTATAATTAGAAAAAGATTTCTATGACTAATGAGTAGAAATCCATTTTTAAGCCTCTGAGCATGTGAATTAGAAAGTATGATCACTTTTGTGGAGCCTGAGGAATTGCTATCCTTCTCTTTAAAACAGGGGCCAGATGGATTACCCATGCCTGGCTGTTGGCAGAAGGTAGGCTTTATGGAATTTTTTCTAAAAGAGGCATGCTCTCTTTCTCTTCCCCTGGCCTGGCCTTTTCCATTTAGATCAGAGCTTTTGAATTTGACATTGCTAAAAGTTTTATTTGATATTAAAAATCATTGATTATTCTCCAGAATACTTTCGATTATTATGTTCACTACTGATTTCTTCCTAAACTAAGGAGTGAAAACAGTTCTTAGTAAACATTGTGATTCGGAACTTTCCCTGTCTAATCTTTTCTTTGGATGGAAAGGGGCAGGCAGTGCATGTGTGTAATGGTTTGCTCGTCTCTCAATGAACTCCTTGTCCTTCTACTGTTGAAAACTATTCTTAATTGTGATTTTTTTCTATTTATACTCAATGACTTAGGCAAGCATGCAAATACACGGTAGAACCCTGTCAATATTAGTCACAAAGCTGAGAAAGCAGAAAATGTAAGCATGATCTTTTTTCTTCAACAACATCCTGATTTATTAGTTTATTCTAACCTCTTTATATGGCTACCGATGGCCACTGTGTAGGAAGAGAACTTTTCCTTAACAGAGAAACTTCTATATGATCACATGGCACTTTCATATAAGGGGTATCATTTTATTTAATCCTCACGATAACTCCATGGAGTGTCCTCCTTAGTGATTCTGATGAAGAAGCTGAAATTCAAAGAGGTTAAAGAATGTCCAAGGCCCAGAGCTAGTAAGCAACAGAACTACAAGTAGATGAGGGAAAGCAATGGCAGAATTGGCAGCAGGGAAGAGCTGGCTGGCTCTGTGCTGTGCTGAGGGCATTTCAAACCATAACGCAACAATGATGTGAGCCTGTGCAGGGCTGTGCATTTTGAAATTTATTCTCTAAAACCTTGTGCCTCATTCAGTAACTTTTAACAGACATGTTCCATCAGCAAAATTATTCAAAACCATGTAGGACTGCAGAAAGATGAAGGGAAACTTGACTCTCCTGGGTTCGTCTTAGCTCATCAACTACATCGGTGAGATCCTATGTAACTCGCTCTCTTGCTTAACTGCTCTCACCCTGCTCAACCAGGGAAAGAAACACCTTCCTCCTTTCTCAGCAGCATCATTTATTTAGTAGCTTTCCAAACTCCACTTTCAGCCTGTCAGATAATATCTCAATCACATCTGAGGTCAAGTGGTTCTCAGGAAGATGGCCCTATCATCAGATTCTTCTTCAGCTGAAAAACGCCTGTTCTCAGAATTTTTAATACCATCCTGAGCTGGAATTACCACATACTCCTTGATCCTTGACCTGTAATCTATAAACTATAATGATTTCTTAATACAGCCACTGGCACACCTGAGGGAGATGTACGAAAGGCTGACTTTAGCAACCTTCTAACAAACACCACTCAGAACTTGGGTTCACCTCATTTTCATTGACTTCTAAATCTCTTCCTTTTAGTGAGGGCATAAAAATGACAACAAACAAAGCATCCATCATCTTTTGGGTTCATGAATAGGCCGAACCTAGTTGTAATATAAGTAGCATCAGAAAATCAGAAATGTCCCTCGTAACTACTCATTTTTCCAAAGAATAGATACCAAAGTTTACATAAGATCAAGGATTTCTTAAATCCAGCATCTTCTTACATAAAGAATAATTACTCAACGATAAAACCTCAGTATTGTGTACCACACTCTCAACACACACACATGCAGATTGTTGTGATCGGCCTCTCCCAACACCCTCTTCCCCTGGAAGAAGAAAAGAACAATTAGAAAAATGGCATGTACTAAAATCTCTTATGTGGTCAACTTAGCTATCTCAAATACACTGTTCATCAAATCGAATTACTTTAAAAATATTTTTAAATGAAGACCAGCAGATTTCTTGTAGTTCATTCCTGTGTTATGTGGACCCCCCTTTTGAACATTACTATTTATTAGCCTCTGGAACATGGTGGTAAATGTTTGATGGAAAACTCAGATTGCAGGGGCTGCGTCATTCGTGATTGGCACGCAGGTCCCCTTGGTTGAGCTACTCTCAATAATTTTTCCATGCAAAATGATTTAGTCTTTGTTTAAGTTGCCTTTGTTTTTAGATACAGTTCAGTTTTCTAAATTTTGAAGAATAAGGATGTATCAGTTCCCAGTATAATTCACACAGTGAGTAAATGGCAGAAGTTATGGTTAAGAAAATACTTACAGGCTACTAAAGTCGTCCTCCATCTTCATCTGGAGCTTAAAACTATTTAATAGGAAAAATACCTCGAGGCTTTGTATTTTTTCACGTTTCACTAAACCTTATTCTTCCAGGTAGAGCTGGCAGGTTTTTAGCAGAACCTACCTAAAACAAGGTGACATATTTTTTAACTACGTTTTAAAATCTACAGGGAAGGAGGACATTTTTTAATTCTGTGGATTATTTATAAAACACTGGTACTCAAAAACACGCATCTGTTCGAAATTGGAGATAATGAAAGTTTGGAGAAATACTTCCTGTAGGCCCATTCTCTGGCATGGACACAACACATAAACAAGGAGTGAACCCCATCTCTAAAGTTTACAGAGTCCCCAGCCTCTTAAACACATCTAGTGTAGTGTTTCTATATCTTGGAGAGAGATAACAAGTGTTTTTAATTAATGAATTGGGCGTTTTACTTTTCTCATTGCTTTTTATTTTTGAGTAAAAGTCAATATCTGCAAGATCTGCTCTGTGAGTTTTTAACTCAAAGACAATTGTCCCTCAGTTCCCTCAGATTTAACATTAGTTCTAGGAAAACCTTAGTAAGTATGGCTGTTCAAAATGAGGAGCCAGAGATTTATAGTATCTTAGATCACAGTGGAGCCTGTAATACAGCTTAAAGACCACATAGTAGGCAGGCTTACTTTGCTCATCTGCCACAGCAGGGCAGGACTAGCAAAAGGAAAGAGGAGGCAAGAAGTAAAGTATTGTGGTCTGGTGTCTCTGAGGTATGTAGCACCATTGAGGTCAGAATCCTCAGCCTTTTACACAGAGTGTTTTAATGCTTGGGGAAGGTTATGTAAGTTATAAAAGGGATATATATATATATATATATATATATATATATATATATTTATATATATATATATATATTTATATATTTATATTTAACTATGGCACATATGTGCTAAATATCCTAATTTTCTGCTTTCTCAGAACAGTTACTGAAACAAGCACTTACCAGAAACTTCTCCACAGGGAAAGGAAAATGTGGGTGGAACCTAGGGTGAAAATTTTGATGACACTGCAGTTTCAGAAAAGTAATGTGTAGGGCACGTATTGACTGGTTCATTGATTTAAAAAACATACAACTCTATTCATGGTTCTACCAGTTTTCTTAAAGTAAATGTGACTTTGGAATTTTTATCCTAGACCACTAATTCTGTATATTTGTCTTTTTTTGTTGTTTGTTTTTCTGCAGTGATGAATCTAACCTCCCAAGCATGAAGTTGTGTATATAATGGTCCACTCTTTATATTTATAGTTGAAAACCGAATGGCAGATTTTACAAGTCTGAGATGTGTTTACGTATAGCCGCTTCTTCCTGTTTGCAGTAGTGCACATGTCCATCTGTCCTTCACTTACAGCTGAAACGGGGCAACCTGTGAAACTAGTGAGAAGC